TCCTACCTTACTATATCATTATATTTTACTAAAAATCTATTTCTAAACGAATAATATCTTTAAAAATTTATTTATATTATTTAAATATAATTTTTAAATATAATCCATATCTATAAATTAAATATATATATTTCGTTCGAAATTCATATTTCTAATATTTTTTATATTCAATATAAATATTTTATAAATATAAATATCTAAATAAAAATTCAAAACATCAAAAATATTATAAATAATACCAATTATATACATAATATCAATATATTACTAATCAACAATACAACACTCCAATATCTATCGCCTAAATTACATAAATTACTATACTCTCTATTAACATTATATATATATATAATAATCTTCAAAATATCAATTATTTCTAAATTATCTGTCTTTTTAATATTCTAAATTTATAATTTATAACATATTTATAAGAATTTCCAAAAAATCAAAAAATATATTCTAAGTTTCGAAAATTTTAATTTATAATACATATTTATATTAAGATATATATATATTGATATTATATTGTTTTTTATTTGCACCTATCCTATTTTATTGTTGTTCGTCGTTTGCACCCCAAACCGGTATGCAGCTTCGGGTTCGGGCAATAATCCCGAGTTGAGGTTCTCAACCCGTCAACCCAAGAACCCTCGCAGCAAACGAACTATTCACCAATTGACCAGGTCAAATTCTTCCAGCAATGCCAAGAGGCGCAACAGGTGCCAAGAAGTGTTACATCATTTTCCGATTACAAAATATGGCAAGTATGTCCTTATTTTTAGCGCAATCCAACACAGAAAAGTGAATGACCCCCGACGAAACAATGTTCAACAGGGAGTTGCGGAAGGGCTATAGTAGGGACAAACAAGAAATCCAGTACAATACCTTGAGGATCCCCAAAAACATGCAACACAACGCTGAATATGTAAGGCTCTTCTGATCTTGGGTAGTGCAGGCATTCGATCAAAAGCGGTACATTCAGCAAATGTGCGCATGAATCTGCAGAAATGTGTTGCTTGGCTTGACCCGAATGATAATATGCCTTCTCATTCCCAAAGCAGAAGGGAAGACTTGCGAAGTTCCAATCTTTTCATATTGACTTTGATCATCCAAGAGCGACTGATTTCGAGCTTACTTGAAGAATAGAAAGCTCAAATTGATGAAACCGATTCAACAAAGTAGATTAAAGAACAAGCGGACAAAGTCAACTAAAAATCAATTCAAGTCCAAAACAGGTCTCAAGGAAAAAATCAAATCTTGATGTAGAGAGTTATACTGCATTGTAGTGCATTGTAGTTTTTGTTGGGGCACTCCCCATTCAACCAAATCCCGAAACATGAAGTTAATCCCCCGATTCCTCCAAAGATCAGCACTTCATTCTCTGCTGGAAGAGTTTCTTCATCCATCCCGGCAGCGGTATTAGGACATTTGATAGGCACGCTCTCCTAGCTTTCGCGTACAACGGTGCGACAGCTCTGATCAGCAACTGCAAGTCGGCAAGTCCTGTGCCTCTCCACAACGTTTTGGAACACTCCACTTCTCCCCATGACATCTCATGACAATGGCAGAGCCCCCGGTTCTCCCGAGTTCGAGAGAATAGAAACTCTATCGACCCACGGGGCTGTAGGAAGGTGACCCAAATAAGGTGGGAATGGGATTGAAAAGCATTGAAATACCGTGTTGTTCTGACCAACATGCTTCGATCAGAACTCACCAAAGAAAAGAAACAGAAAAGAGGCCGCCTCAGTGATCAGGTAGTAGGGCTGATCAGGGCTGATCTATACATCACTGAACATGAGTTGCATCTACACATCATTGATCTACACATCTAAACATTTTATCTAGTCTTGCCATCCACGTCTTGCATCCCTGTCAAAAAGCGTCTCAGATTTTGACGAAGATCGGGGGGATTTGGCCAAAGCTCCTCTCTGCACAATCGAACCACACGACTAACTGTGACAATTTTCATGATTTTAAGCTTAAGTCCCGGTTTCGTTGGCAAAGGGTGTCAGCTCTTGGTCCAAAAGACAGTTTGTCCACTGGCAATAAGATGCTGCCATTCCTTCTGGAACTCTTGGCTCACAGGATGAGTACCCCCCTGGCGCCCCTGTCAACAATGACAGGAGTCGGGAGGCACATCGACTGAGTGTCCATCGATAAACTTGGCTAAGCTCAAGTGCTGGGATGCTCTAATGACAACAACTTTAACATTATGCCATGACCAACAACGCAGTCTTTTTGTCTGTAGTGGATAATGGTGCACGCATAAGTCCTCTGAGACGTCCATTCAATCGATGTGCGTTCTTTTTTCAGGCGAAACTTGTCAAAATGCCAGGTTCCCAGCGCATTGTTTAATTGCGGGCTGCCTGGCTTCACAAAGATCCACTGCAAATGGCGCAGTCCGCCCTCTTGTTTTGCAACAGTAACCTGTGGATGGCACAGACGTGTATTGATGATTCCCATTGATTCTCTCTTAACAATGTTCAACTTAGGAGAACTCCTCGACCTTCCAAAGAAGGTCAGTTCTGCCACGTCAGAGGGAGTTGAAAAAGTCGGAACCAGGATGCCTCTGCAGGAGGACTGAGGGCCTCCTCTCGACCCACTCGCCGTGTGTCGCGCTAAACATGACCCGAGTCCACAGGTTGTTTACTTCAACAACAGTGTTTGCGTGCTTTGTCTAATGTGCCCTCATTTCACGCTGAAGCTTCTTTGTGATTCCTTCTTTGTTATTCCTAATGTGTTCCATATGTTTCGATTGTCTTGTGGAGCTCCACTTGCCCAGTCCAACTTCAGACAGATGCGGCTTGTTTGTTGACTCCAAGCATCGGAACGGGTCAAGACCGGTACCCCAACACCAGACCGGTACCCGAACACACACCCGAACACCGGACCGGTGTCCGAACCGGACGCATTCCGAAAGAATCCTTCTTGGGACACGAACACCATTGTGACGATATATCGGGAAACAAGGTTGATATTGATCTCCTCCATTCAAGAATTGTTTCTGGATACTTCGCGAATTTTCGCTTCGCAATGCAATTCCTTCTCTGGGCGGTGCGCTTCATCCGGCGAGGGTGCTGAAGCGAAGCCGAAGCTGAAGACACTGGAGACCTAAAGATGTTTTGCATCTCACAACAGCTGCATTGCCAGGGTATGTGACTTTGGGTATGTGAACTTCCATCAAGTCATGTGTCCACCAATTCTGGGATCCCCAGACGTCGTCAATGGGCAACAAACTGTCCTAGTCATAGTGGAAACGACAAACTCCCTGAACGGATGGAAGTCCGAAGTCCACCAGTTCCGAAGGAGTGCCCCTAAGTGAGTGGATAATGGGCACCCCTATGGCCCACCATATCTGCGGATTGTTGCGATGAAGGACGCGAACCGAACGTAGCTCCTGGCATTACTAGTAAAACACATGTTAAACTCCGAGGGCATCGCTACCAAAAAAAGGAGCGAGAACGCTACGGTTGCAACATCACTCTTGTTGAGCAATTCTTCAATGGCGGATGAGGTTGGGTCCAACGGTTGGGTTCTCTCACTCTTTCAGTGTCCTCTTCAGCCTTTGCTCGGGACGGTTCGATCCCCAGCAGGCAAGTTGGCTGTCGTCGTTCGAGTTGGCTGGTCCCAGACCGAACAGGGCAGAGACATGTTCACTCTTTGATCGCATAATTCTACCACATGTATAGTCCGGCGGTGCTAAACATAGATTAATAAATTTAATAAGATCTACCGTGGCCTACAGTACAGTATCAATTGTCCATGCCAGCCACTTCTGAGAACTGTTTCTTTCGTCCCGGACCCTCCACACATTCTGCTGCAAAGCCATCCACATCTGCTTTCTTTTAGGGGGCTTTTGCAACAGCAATCACAATCCTCATTTCGTCAAACTGCCAGCAAGCCAGGCTGCGACCATGACGCGCCAAGTTCACATGAAAAATCAACAATGAGGCTATGGGTAAAACTCCCTTCCCCCCATTGAAGCACTTGGATTGATTCATCCCCTAAACTTTCCGTGGACATTCACGCAACATGATTCTTTTCTATCCTTTTCTGTTCTTAAACCGGGATAAAGTGACCAATCTTATTAGCAACGGCCTCCAACCTAGAAGCGATGGCCTCCAACCTAACCTTCCTTAAAAAGAAGCGCAAGACGTGACCTAGTGTTTTCAATGACCCAACCAGTCTGTAGGCCGTGCACATTCTCACACAGTCCTGTGCACTTTTTGAAAAAGTCCTGTCAACTGGCAGTCATCATGCTGGAAGCAACCTCCATAAGTTTGGCCATACTGACAGCATGGGTTGCCCCCATAGAGCAGTGTCGAAACAGGCCAGAATATCTCGATCACCCAAACAGCGGACCCTGGACGCCTGGACCCTGCGAAAGGATGATGCTTCACACGACTACAGTATCATGGGAATTGGTCAAAGATGGGTCGGTTCGGCCTTTCGACACGAAAAGAGCCACCACTAAGACTGCCTGGAAAGGAGATTGCGTGACAACATGTGACAAACACAAATGCACAGATCCACACAGATCCATGTCTTTTTCTTTTTCCAGGCCCCCACTGCACGACCAAATACAAAGACCTTATACAGATGGCCCAAACGAGGACTGCATAGCTGCGTGTCTCGGGTGCGAAACACCGGGTTGCTTTGGGAAAACCCTCCCCTCCAATGAAGATGGAAGTGGACAATCCATTGTCGGTCGTCTTAAAGATTATTCCATTTCCATGAAATTTCCATGTTGGAGAGATTTGCTGGAAATCGCCAGAGTCTGAGTCTGCCAAGTCATAACCACCGAGACTCCCGCATCGACCCTGCGGTCACCTCCACCTGAAAACGTGACGTCGAAAACGAGGATCCGTGGGCATCCCAGCGGAACAGGAACCCTGGGCATCTTGTGAGACCTGGGACAAACATCTTTTCGGCCGAGACGTTTGTTGGAGTTGTTGACGTCCCCATCCCTGCCCTACCCTGCTGTAATGAACAATCTGATTCGTTGCTTCGGCATTGTCTCGACACTGCAAGCCTCCGTCCGCTCCTGCCCTAGGGATGGCATCAGTCCTAAAGCACAACTTGTTTACTCCACTTCTTCTCAGTGAGAGGGAGGTCATCCAGCACCGACCTCTTCGATGACCTCTTCTGCTCCAAAATGAGGCACGAAGTAGTCTCATACCCTCAACCTTAGGGAGGGGTGATGTACCCCCTATTCCGGAGTCATTATATTTCCTAAGGTTGAGTGTATATATGTAGTCCTTCTTTCAGGGGGCTGCAGTCTTCCAGACTTTAGGGGGATCTCTATCGCCGGAACACTTGAGAGAGACTTGAGGACTGCAAGAAGGCCACGCCCAGTCAATTGAAAATTGAGGATTTTTTGACTTGGAGCAGTTTCTTTGACTTGGAGGGACGAAACAATCCTTACACCAACTCGTAGTTTCAACTGGTGCCTGGTGCTTTGATTGAATGGTGTCCCCAGCTCAGCTTGGCCTTCGTGGTGACCGTCTTGCAAGACCCTCAAACCATAAATCCGCCGGCCTGCCGGCGTGTTTTGTGGATTGTTTTGGTTAGTATTGCTTGTGTTGGTTTCAATCTACGGTTTGTATCTCCGCGCGGATTTTTCGACAGCATGACGCCCCCCCCCTCTCTACGTCTAAGGTGATTGGACTGAGACATGTCGATCGCTGGATCAGAATAGACAACCATTGGACTGAGACATGTCGATCGCTGGATCGCTGGATCAGAATAGACAACCTCTGATTCGGATTCGTTCCATTTCATTGTAAAACGACTTCGCTTGAAATCAACATCAGCAAACTCTCCCAGCCAAATGTGAAACTCCAATGCACCCACAAGTCTGATTGAGCAGGGTATTGTTGTTCGATGTCATTCTGGCTCTTTCATTTCAAACGGTTTGGAGAAAAAACGACAAATCATGCCAGATCTAGAAATTCTTCGGTCGCTTTGAAGCCTTCTGTGTGTGAAAAAGAATATCTGGTGCGTGTCGCAATCCCTCGAGACGGTCGAAAGAAAGATCTGAAAAGGAAAACATGCAAACGGCCAAGTAGTTTGGAAGAAGAATCGTTTTCAAGGTCATGTTTTGTGGATAGTCTTGGTTCGCATTGCTTGTGTTGGTTTCAATTGGTTCCTCTTAGGTGATTCGACTGAGACATGCCGGTTCGGATCGCTGGATCAGAATAGACAACCTCTGATTCGGATTCGTTCCATTTCATGGTCAAACAACCTTGAAATAAACATCAACAAACTCACCCAGCCAAATGTGCAACTCCAATGCACCAACAAGTATGATTGAGCAGGGTATTGTTGTTCGATGTCATTCTGGGTCTTTCATTTCGAACGGTTTGGAGAAAAAAACGACAAATCATGCCAGATCAAGAAATTCTTCGGTCGCTTTGAAGCCTTCTGTCTGTGAAAAAGAATATCTTGTGCGACTCGCAATTCCTCGAGACGGTCGAAAAAAAGATCTGACAAGGAAAACATGCAAAAGGCCAAGTAGTTTGGAAGAAGAGTCATTTTCAAGTACCGGCTTTGTGGATTGTCTTGCTTCGTCTGGCTTGTGTTGGTTTCCATTGGTTTCAATCTACGGTTTGTTTCTCCGCGCGGATGTTTCGACAGCCTGCCCTGCCCCGGTTGGTTTCAATCTACGGTTTGACTGTTAATAAGCATCATTAGGCTGCCTGCCAATGCGGGCTCGAGCTGGTGGCCGGCGGCATGCCGAAGGCTGTAAATTCGGTCGACCGTGGCATCCCCAAGGCAAGGCGGCTCATGTCAGCGCAGGCTCCCAGCACAGGCTCATCTTTCGCTCACAAGGAAAACACCATTTGACATCCTGCACCGGAAAGTCTGCGAGGTTCAAAGATCCAACCCATCGCAGAAAAAACGAAACCAAACGCCTGGCGCCATCTCTACCACCGTTATACTGGTTACACAGTTAATCACGGTTACAAGACAAAGCAAATCAGGGCATGAACATCCCAGTTTTTGTGCATGCGGGTAAGTGACAAATTAGAATTGCAATCATGTTGTGCACATTTACACCTTATACTGGCCTATACGATGTGCAGTTTTGAACATCATGTTGCTCCTCAGTTTTGGTGCAAACATGTGCGTGTAAGCACCCTTACTCAAATCTGTGAAGATCGTGTGCGAGCAAGCGTCCCTAAATCGACAAACCTCCAGTCTGTTGCGACAGTGAGTCCTGTGGTCATTTAGTCCAAAAATGGCTTCCAAAGGAGTAAAGCATCTAGAATCATGACCACGACTTCAAGAGCTACAAATGTTGCTATTTCATAGCTATACTGTACCCAGGCACACCATGATTTACCTACATTGGGGCATATATTCCAGAAATGGAATTTGGGGCAAAGAATGGGATTCTAGAACTTAGGTGGGTATCCGAACTTCTGCGCTAGCCGCTTTGCTGAAACAACACAACACTCCACTGACAACACCGGTTTGTCCCGGAATTTGAGGTACAAGTATCCCCAGCAATCTTCAACCTTTTGTCTAGAATTTTGGAGTGTGTCATGTTGTTGATGTTGTTTTTTGCTTTGTTTAAAGAAACATTTGCTTGTCCCTTTCTCGATGCTCTTCGGTCGGTCCATCCGCAGCGAAGGGCACGGACAGAGCGTCGGCGTCGCGGCAGCGCTGGACCGTCTCGAGCTTGGAGAGCATCCTGAAGGGAACTGGAGGAACTGGAGGGAGTATGGCTTATGATGGCTTCAAGGAGGCTCGACGGCCGCTTCGGCTCGACGGCAGATCTGTCGAACCGATCTGTTTTACGATGGGGGTTCATGATTCGGTCGAGATGAGCAAGCAACTTGTGAAATGTGAAACAACAGCATCCTGTGTATGTGAAGAAACAAACAACAACATATGAATATAATAAATATATAAACCTATATATATAATATAATATATACAGTATATCTTCAGGTCAAAGCAAATGGACCTTAACACCTCGATGTTGATTGCCCTGTTTTGTTCCTACATGCCCGTGCGTAGCGCCCTTTGCAGAGTGTCACCAGCCAGTTACCCCAAATGGGGAGCGCCTCGGCAGTGGTGGCAGGCCTGGGGGATGTTCCACTCCTGCCTGTTGCAAGGCCTCAGCACCGGTGCACCGACGTGAGCAGGATGCGCCGTGTGGCAACGTGTGGCGTCCCGAACAGGCCGACAGGTTATTCATTGCCTTAAAGTGGCGAGTATATAACTTACAGCCTCCAACGTGTTCAATGTGCTTTGCCCGTTTACCAATGGTATGCGGAAGTCTTCGAAGACGAAGCCACCGACCTCCATCTTCTTCAAACCCGTCGCCCTTTTCCAAAAAAAATATATCAAACCTGTCGCGGTGAAAAACACCATGATGAAGCTCCTTGGCTCCCTTTTGAGTCAAAAAAAGATCGGCTGTTGCTCCCCTCTCAGCTCAACCTGTTGCTCTGTCCACCAACAATGGAGACGACCGTGTTTTCTGGCTGGCTATATATATATATGGTATTATATGGTCAGTCGATGTTGGTCGCTTGGTGATTCGCTTGGCGGGTGATTGCCCGATGATTCGCTGTGGCCTGTTCAATTGCTTGATTGTTTGGTTGCTTGCTGCAGCATGTTGCTTTGTTGGTCGGCAAGAAGACATCTCCAGCACTCGCGTGTGGGCATCCGTCTTGTGAAAACCTGTCCCTCTGCCAAATGTGTTGCACATCCACTCATGACGACCCCATTTTCTCAGCATCATGCAACAAAGGTACAGGAACATGCACCTGCACTGATTTGGGCACTTTAGCTGTCAGGCATAGTAATCGTCGCTCCAAAGCCCCGAAATTGCCTGTGAATCCTTCCTTACATATTCCAACCCTCCAGCTTTGCCCAAGTGGCGACCAGTTGCAGCATCTGAGGCGAAACCAGCTTGGCACAGGCTAGCGCCAAGGGCAGTTCGACTCCATTGACGAAGACCCGAGGCTGACTCAGATGCATCGCACTGAAAAACACTCTGCAACGCACAGATCGGAATCACCAAGGATTTGCATTACCTCCAAAGGAGTCGGGGATGGTCACGGTTCGTGACCGGGAGATACACTGAATTCGAAAGAACATGGATCAGTGGAACAACACCTGTTTTGTGCAGGAAACATCGGAATCCAAGGGGCCATGCCATCCACTTTCATGATGATTTTAGCTCCCTTCCTCTTTCCATTCTGAACCAACCAGGGGGGACCGACCCGTAGATTTGGTCCAATCCTCCAATTGATCAAAGGGAACATCCAAAACCAGCCGCATCGAGCCATCGAGCCGGTCTTCCCGAGATCAACGAGAGAGGAAGAGATCAACGCTGATGGGCGATCTGGGGTTGATTGAAAATGCCGAATGCTCCGGCCATCCAGCTATGTGTAAAGCTGACACCGAGATGTAGGACTCCTAGGTCAGCTAAATGACACCTCCCTCCCAGCAACCTGGTGAGCTATGTGCGAAGCAATGCGAAGCGGACTCATAGTCACCAAAAGATCAGAAACGTGGGACTCCTAGGACTCATAAGAAAGGAACTAGGACTCAGACAGAATCATGTGACTCATAGGCCCTAGGACTCCTAGGACGAGAAAGATAGAACTCCGTCCCGGGCCCATATGATCTCACAAAAAGGTAGGACCAGTAGGACTCAGAACGGCCGAGGACGAAAACACGATGATGCAAGGAACCCTAACTTACACGTCCACTTACACGGTGGTTCTACGGCGGTGGTAAACATGGGATGTTCAATCATGTCAACACCCGTCAGACCTAAGAGCTGCAAACCGATATCTTTGTATGTGGCAAAGGCTTATAGTGGTCCCCAAATGGATAGAAGCGGTTTCCAATACATTTTTAGTGGGGATCTACTTTTATATCTATTTGGGGGTTTATATACACTTGGAATTCTTGTCAATCTTTGAATGTGAGTGTGTCAAATGATAATGATTGACACATTGGCCGCTGCAGGGAAGGAATGAGTCACCGTTTCGCAGACTTCACATGGACTTCCCACCGATTCGCACCGATTCTGCACCTACCAAGTCTACCGTTCGCAACGGAGGGTTCGTTCAACCGGGTCGTTCAGCGCCCAGAGTCCAACCGAGGTGCCAAAGGCACCCAGGAGGACGGTCTCCGTTGACTATCCATGTGTGGCGGGTCCATGTCAGCATGGCGATGGTTCCAAAATGTTCCAAACTGCGCATGGCGTGGTGATGGTTCCCCCAAACAAACACTGGTGATGCTTCTTCAAAGTTACCTTTTTTGGAGTCCCTAAGTATGCCTAAGTGGCCTTTTACCGGCCTGTTTGCGAGCTCAAACCAGGGGATCGAAAGGTCACTTGGAAGAGTCAGCTGTTGCAGCCCTTGGCACGCCGCTCTTGCATGTTCTTGCCAAAGCACACCGACTCCATGTGATGAGATCTCAAGCAGTATAAAGCCAAATTCCTTGGCAAACACAGCCAAGACCCAAAGTGATAGCTTGCGGCGTCTGGCCATTCGTCTGGACATTCTGGCCACTTGTTCTACCTTGTAATTCATGGGAGGTTCTCTGTGCCACGTGATGAACACCATTGTGGATCATTCGCATTGTGTGAGCATCCAGGCCCCAGGGTGTGAGCCGCAGTGATACCTTCAAACCTGGTTTGGACATTAGTTAGTGTGCTTCTTTGCTGCTTCCGCAAGTCTAAGATGTGGAGCACACCGTCTGAAGGAAAACGTGCCTTCCACAGAAACCTCCTCCCAATCCCTATTTCCCACAAGTTCTCATTTTTTCTAGCAAATTCCGAGCTCGAAACAAAAAGAACAGTCCGATCTCTTGCAGTTTTATGGATCCCAGTGGTGACTGGTGCACAGAGAGACCCCAGCAAGTCAGGGGGAGATTTTACACACCAATCTCCCGTCAGGTCAATCTTATCTACAGCGGCTTCAGGCAAAAGAAACTCGAAAACACCAGGAAAGGGTAAAACCATGCGCCTTTGACTGGATAGTTTTGCGCGGATAAAGACCACACCATTTTGGACAGAACGCACCGAGTGGCTGGGCAAGGCCCTGATGTTGTGCTTCCTTGAGATCCACGATCAGCATGCTCTCCTGACCGGATCCCCCAATAAGTGAGGCCGACATGCCCGGCCAAGAACCACCCCAATGTACAAATCGATGCAGGCAAATATGTCATACATGGAGTGCCTGGGTAGTAGGGGCCTCACAAAAAAAACAACAACATCGATGTTCTTGAAGGATCAGCACTTCAATGAAAGCACCTGGCAAAAACAACATGATGTTGGACTCCTTCACATGGTTACACCATGTTGCATCTCCGTCGAGAAACTGTCACCCCGGCATTGTAATTTACTCTTCTCTGACCTTGGGACTGTCTGGTCCAGATGTGAGGCCAGTACAAAAGTCACCAGAATCATTCGACAAATATGAAGAACATTGAAAAACCATTAAGCCAGAACATTCTCACACAACGCATCATTGACAAGACCCGTCTTCATCACAAGCCATGACCTACGACTCCAACGTCAGAAACTTTGAGATCAAGATCATTCATCCTTCGAAGCTTTATTTGGATAAGAGGAAAAACAGTACCCGACGACCCAACGGTCGCACCTGGCCAGCGATGGCGGAGAAGACGCGGTAGCACTTGGCACAAGTCTCGGGGGAGGTGAAGTTCACCACGGCCAACTTCTTCCAAGGCCTTTGGCTGCGCAGGCAGCTGCCAGGCTGGCAGTTGCTGGCAGTCAAGAATTAAACATGTGTTTCTGCATGAAGGCCGGATCTGTCTGAGTGACACACCTTCTGCGTGATAAAAAAGACAGTCCAAGTCCAAAAACATCGCAATGCATCCCCCAACATCTGGTCCCAATCCTTTCGACTCTGGACCCTGAGAACCCGGACAAACACCCTCCAATCGTCTCACTCTACAAAGAGAACATCTCTGACTACTCTGACTCCAAGACTGTTCTTAGGTGAGTGGGTGGACACCCAGTGGCAAATGCACGAAGTCGAAGGCATGTTGGACTTCGGGCACGGCCCAACGGCACAAGTTGCGCAGCGCACCCAGGAAGTCCTGGCGACGGTTCACACGGACCGTGGGCATCCGGCGAGCCTTGCCCCGCCCGACGTTCGGGCGGGATCAGTGCGGCACGGGTCCAAAACCATGTGCCAAATCACCATTGAACACTGTTCAGAGTGATTGAGTGTTCTGAACATTCGCAGGGTGTTGGCTGAGTGACGTGGACCTGTCCATGTAAGTTGTCACAGTGACAAAAGACTCCAGACGTAACCTCAACAACCTTTGACACCAACTCATAATTACCCTAAGCGTCCATCATTGCTTTAAAGAATCACCTGGACGACTGGAATAGATTCTCTGCAAACCTGACATTTTTGAGGGGTAGAGTACGGGGTTGCTTGTGTGGCAAGCTAGTATATACGTTCCTTGCCTAAGCCAAACATGCAAGCGCAAGATCCGAGGGGCAATGGAACCTCTGAATAAAATTGTGTGCCACTGGCAAGTGATCTTACAGCAACCAATGATATAGTATCACATATTTGATCATATTTGACATGTTGAAGAGTATCTCAGTAACCCCCTACTTTTGTGCAGGTAGAATATGACGCTTGGCAAACAGAAAGAGTGAGGGAACATATATTGGATTTGACAACATCTGTGGGTCGGCCCCCGTCCGTTCCATTCGCCTTTATCTCGGGCAATTATAACCATGTGTCCACATCATATGATGGCCGCTTGTGTCGAGGTCATCGCACTGATCACAACACCATTGGGCGTTGACTGCATTAAACATAGCTTCCCCACACACTCCGTGTATGCCAACCTTGATACACCTAGCTTTACCACATAGCTTCCCCAACATTGACCCCTTTTCAACCACATGGACTGTCAGGGTACACACATGGACTGTCTGGGTTCTGGTCCAAGTCTTCATGATCCTTACATCACAAAAAGGCCTGAGGATGCCTGAGGACTGAACATGGAGACAACAACCGTGGACGTACCTCAACACGCCCTTCTGAAGATTTTGAACGTGTAAGTGGCAAGTGGAGGCGAACAGTTGAGGACATGACATAGCATCCTGAGACAATTAACACATCCTGTTGACCCCATAGCAAACCCACAGTCGAATCACTACAATAAGGTCAATAAGGTTGCTTCCGGATCTTTTATGCTTTGACCATGTTTGACTTGACATGTATTGTAGTATCGACATGTATCAACCCATATACTCTCTCATCAAAGCCAAACGAGGGAGCCTCATCCATGACACCCGTCCTCGTGGCTCAACTTCTTGGCCGTCTTGAGGATGAGGGTCGTAATGCTTTGCACCATGGCTTGGACTGAGAGGATCGGGTCCAAAATGAGGTCAAAATGGACTGCGGGTCCAAAACACGGCCGTTGAGTCGTCTATGGTGACCATGATCATGGTGACCATGGGTGATGAGCCCAGATCTCCTTAGTCCACATCCCTGAAAGGAACTGTGGTAAGGAAGCCCCTTGCTTCGGTGAACCCTGAAAGAAAACATCTCAAGAAGGTGCCCAGTCGCTAATTTCATTGCGCACCCTCACCACCAAAGGGCTAGGGTTCTGATCGTACCACTTAGCTTCCCCCGCGGCACTGCAGCCTCCATTTTGGTATATTGTAGGAGCCTATTCCAAGTGGCAAGTCAGGCTTCGATCACAGATTTGTGTACTCTTGCACACTGGTCAGCACTCACTAACGTCTCTCCCAAACAGATCGCCTTCCCAAACCTTGGTCAAGTCGCCAAGAAAGTGTGCTGTTCTGAATGACGTGAAGCCAAAAAAACCGTGAAGCCCAAGCCCAAAGCGCGGGCCAAGCCGTGCACCAGGCGTCGCCGAGGACTTTTGGACCCCCATGGACCGCCATCGGGGGTGTGAAACATCGACCGCCAAATCTTTAGGCATGTCACCGCCAACCCCACCGCTTTGTCGGGAGCAAGCCCCGAGGTTCGATTGTGCGTGCTTCGGTGTTCTGACCGATGAATATTGCAGTATGGTTGTCCAATGTCAAGTGCCAAAAAAGTGCTTGCAGGTTGCTTGATGCAAATGGGTCAAACTAGTGCCAATTCCTTACTAGCCTTCGGCTTGCCACCATCTGTTCTCAAAGCATTCACAAATCCCAAAGCGGCTCGCATCAAACCAGGTCCGCCTGGCATTTTCGGTGTGGACATGTGGTAGCTATGACTCTTACATGTTCTTAGGCTACTTAGGGCCGTGAATCGCGCAACACGTCGGCAGAATCGGTCGCGTGATTGGTTTTGGGGGGTATCACGAGTAGAACTGGGTCGGACACAGCTTTTGCAACTGTGGGGTCCGTTGAAAGGTTTTGATCAAAGCCGCTGATGTTGCAGAACTGGAACTGACAGCAACCCCCCTTGTGACCCAGCAGCGAAGCCGCGAAATGAACAAGAAAGGACCAAGACCTATGGTAGTGGATGGGAGGGTTCGCCAATTTGAGACATGAGTTGATGAAAAAACTCCGAGGATATAGATCTCTTGTTTCTAAGTGCTATTTTCAGTCAACCACTCAGCTGATGCTGGATTTGATCCAGCCCAAGGTTCTACAGTCTGAACTCGAAACTCAAGAGAAATGGGTCTCGGCGCTGTCGCAAGCTCAGTGGCAGTCACCATCTGAGCCACTGCTGCTCATCTGATTGAAGGTCTTGTCTTCACTTTGTGTAGGTTTAACTGAAAGTCTTGGGTTATATATATATATTTAAACATTTTATATAATACTATACAATATATGCACATATATATATATGCATAAATATCTATTAGTTTTTAGTGTATTTAGTATAGAACCCGGGTTGATGTTCTGATGTTCCAATACCTCACCGCCCATGCTCCCTGCCACCAGCTCCGCTGAATACACCTGGCCTCTTCACGCAAATACTCGCCCACCTCAGCGGTGACGCGCTCGAAGGCAATGTCAGGATTCAACCCAACAAGCAGCGAAAGTAGGGTTATGAACATGTAGTCCCTGGGGCTCCAGGCATCAGCTTGGTGATACACCACCAGCGCCTCACAGTCGACAACTCGACCATAGTTTTGGCCAAGATCGAGCAAATTGACCAAATAAAGGGGCTTAACAAAAGCAAGGAATGCATAGTTTCAAGGAGCGTTCTCTGCAGTTTGATGATTTTGATGCTCCTTTGTTTATTGACCACTTATTTGTGATTGATGCACATATGGGCTCCAAGCAAGCGCTGGCTAGGCCAAGTGTCGAAGAGTGCCGAGAAGAAACATGCTGATGCACACTCGGAGACATGAGCAAAAGAACTATAACTAGTGTGCGTCTCCTGTTTTCAGCATTGGAACATTGGCTGTCTTATGCCTCGGTGTATGTGGGTGTTGTTCTTCTCCATGGTGGAGAATGCTGCCATTCTGGGAGCAAACGTTACATATGCTTCTGAGCCTGAGCCTCCCTTTTTGGTCGAATTTATTTAGCGGACCCACGGACCTTCCCCTCTACTGGATGATGAAAATTGTCATGTTTGAGACACCTCTTGAGCGGAACTTTGTTGCAGGAATTACGCTCCCAGAAACCATGGGGTTAAGTGGGAGGGGCCTGTTGGACGACCCGTTTCCGAAGACCAAACAGGTGGCTCTCCACTTCCATGTGAGTCTTCCTCGGAGTGTGCGTCCACCTTTCTCACACACCTTTGTTTTTGAGCCCTCTCCGTCTGTTGCGACACCTGTCCACGGGAGATTGTTCCGCTTGGGCGAACGCCAAATGCATGGAATCTCATGGACGTGACCGAACAACGAAAGCGCCGGGCCGGGCAAGCCATTCGTCAGGAACTGTGCAGTTGCGATGATTCAGGATTTCTTACGCAAAGAATCTCTAGAAACGACCACCAATCCGAGCTGTGTTACAGGATGGAATCACTAGAAGTAGCAGCAGCGTGGGCTGACTGGGCCAACTACACTGCTTCTCCATTGCGGGCATTCGAGAAGCTGTGGACCCACCTAACATATTACCCACCTTCTCAAAGGGTATGGGTCCGGCGCTGCGTTTCGTGAGCTGCTTTTCGTGACTTTTGTCGTAGGCCTTGAACTCTTGTGCTTCTTACTCCTTTCTCGCTCCTGAGAGTGTTTCGCGATGTTTCCGTTTGCAACATTTTGATTCTATGCTCCTGTACTGCACCGGATAGTGAATTCAACCCATCTCTCCAATTTTGGGGTCAATTTGAGAGACCCAAACTGTTAAGGATGAAGTCTTTGTGAAGTCTTCCAACTCACCACCCACCCAGCCAATCGTTCAACGCCCCGAAGACGCCCTTCGTTCGTGCACGTCTCGCCTCTGCTCCAAGGTTGGTGCACTCCTCGGTGGACCTAGTTTCAAACCCAAAGGGGGTATCCGAGAATCGATGTCACCGGGAAGCATCCCCCAAAATGGAGCTTGTTTGTAAATCATATAAAAATCATTGGCCATCTTTGACGTGAGCTAAAAATCCATCAGAACAGGATAGGAACAACATGGAACAACTGGATACGGGAGTGGCTACCTCAATGCGGAGCTCCAATCGTCCCAGCGCACCCAGGAAGAATGAGAGGCCCTAGCGAATCGCCATCCGAAATGAGAGACCGTGATAGAGAAGTCCACCCTCATCTGAAACTCAGTGTTTCATTTAGGCTTGGACCCACCCAATGAAATCTACAATCCCCAACCAGGATATTTATGCATACCAGCACCTTCCAAGAGGTGTCTATTCATAGCCTCTTAGAGGTTAAGGGGTGTCCAAAAACCACCTGTCGGAAGGTCCTGGTATAAATATATATATATAATATATGTATAAATTATATAATCTTACTATCCACACCACGCACAGTGAGCGGTTTTTAGGAGCGCTGTGACGCTGCTCCGAAAACAAGTAGATGGCTCTGAGGTGGAGGGTTTCTTCGTGTGTTTTCACTGCAATGTCCAACAAAAGGGATTCACTTGAAATGTCAATTGAATAATATTGGCGAGTACTCAGAGTTCACATGAGCTGGAACTGGCAAGTGGCCAGGATGGAACTTCGGCCGCCCAAGAAACCTGCCCCGATGAATCGAGGGTGTCGATTCCTGAGGTTTTCAGGGAAGGTCAACAAGAATGTGAAGCAGAACGAACTCATCCCAGCACCTTCAAAAAGGTCTCCAATAGACTCCCCTACACTACTATCACTGTCACTACTTAGGGATCTCCATTTCTCGCATCCCTTTGGACCGCAGGAACCCACGTCGACGCAGGTGATGCTGCTGTCGCCGACGTCGCCCCACCTCGCTGTCACACCGAAGCCAATAGGTACGTCCGCCTCAAGAAGAAACGTGCCAGGCACTGGGCCAGGCACCTGACATGAAACTGAGTGGTGGGTGAACTTAGCTGGAAGTGGAACTGGTTTGGAAGTGGGACCCATACGCAAAGCCAGTGAGCCAAGTTAAAAGAAACTCAGGACTATCGACTACTCAGTAGTCCTCAGTCAAAGACACTTGAGGACAGTGGGTCTATTGACGATGAAGCTGAGGACTGGCAAACGACTGGGGCTTATGAATGAGAGCTACCAACACTCCAAGTATCGATACAATCATTGGAAGTCTATTGAATGCACACATGGGGAGTGGTTCCCTGCAATGGCTCGGTGAAGGCCAAGTTGTCCAACATCTGTACTCAAAAACTGGTTGGAACTCCAACATACGTTGGGTGAAGCAATGCTCAGTGAAGCTTTGAGAATCCACCCCAGACCGCCCCGCCCTCTCTGATGCCAAAGCACCGACCTCTGGAGCACCGGTGTCTCCTGTTTGGAGCCGCCCTGGCGCCTCGTTGAGCACCACCACTCCGGCGTTCCGGGGCGCGCCCTCCGTGATGCGCCGCAAATGCGCCTCGTGGCCATGATGAACACGTGGTGGCTGGACTCGTCGATGGTGGCAGGATCTCGTTGGGCGGATTTAGACATACTACGTATGTATGTATATGATTATTAACTATATTATGTGTAAGCAGTTGTCGGACCATTGCAAATTCAAACATGTCTATATACAGCAAACCCCCTCATGCCTCTCCCCCTCCAATCCCCAAAAGCGCCCTTCTTTCCTCGCACCAGTCGAGGCCAAACCCGTGAGATTTTCACCACGGCCACGGACGGATCTGGCGAGACGGATCGTCGCCCACCGCGCCCGGTGGAAGATCGCCGGGAGGTGAATCCGTGGTTCGTCGCCGGAGCTCGAGGTGTCCGAACCCAGTTAGTCACCGATGTAGAACCCGCAAATGGCCCAGAGGCGGGCCATTTGCCCGTCTCGTGTTGTGTCAAAGATGAAAAGAGCGATGATGCATCACTGCTCAGCTCCAGATATCCCAATCTGTGGAAGAGTAGCTTTAGGATCATCACTAGGGGTAGATGCACATTATATATAACTCTAAAGCCCTATACACTAATGATAATATTAAACACAAAATAGTACATTGGTGATATCATTTGTACCACCATATAGCTCAGCAGCCTTTCTGGGACCTTTTAAAGGGACAGAACGGCTGTATGAAAAGAACACCGCAAGCAAATAGAACTTGACATAGAAGAGCAACCATTGCGTACTCAATGTGGGTTCTTTCATATGGTAAGGCCAGAATCCTTGATAAACAAAGTCGAAAGAAGTAAACAAACAAAGGTCAAATGAAAACGTCAACGTCAAAAAACAGTCAAATGGACAAGTCAAAAAAGTCGGAAAAAACACACAGTCACACAAAAAGTTAAAAGAAAAAAACGCCAAAGATGGATCACAACTCGAAAAACAAAAAACAAGTCAAATGAAAGTCAAAAAAGTCGAAAGAACGGCAAAAGTCAAATAAACCTCAAAACATAAAGTCAACATTAGAAACGACTCGAAAAAGTCAGAAACATACAAGTCAAACAAGTCAAATAATAGTATTGGAAACAAAACACGTCAAACAAGTCAACAAAAAGTCAACATGAGTAGAAAAACAACAAGTATAAGTAGAACAAACAGTCTGATCTGAGCCAATTGATTGTTTTTGACTTTCTGAAACTTTCTGATTTGATTGTTTGTTGACTTTGACTTTTGGGACTGACTACTAAGTTGACGTTCTTTAAACAAAGTGAAAACGGGCTCTCTCTCCAATTAAAAACATTTTTATATCTAACAAGCACTTGTTACAACGTCTTACAGGCATATCGCTACAGGATACTGGAAAAACACATTTTGTGTTCCAGGAAAGCACTACCTGTTGCGCATCCAGTGTTCTTCCAGTCCCTTCGAAGAAGGCCAAAAAACGATTTGTGTGCCGGCCTAAAAATTGATCTTGCCATCTGGGAGCTTGTGGGAGATGATCCAGGTGTGGCTTTGGTCATGTGGATTTGCCTTTGACCTGCACACGATTCTTCACGTCATGGGCGAGGTCTTGAGATGCACGGTGCGGCACAATCGACGGTGCAGGATGACCGAGAGGCACGGCGCGTGCGGGAGATGAGCGAAACCGATCTGGGATCGCAATAGAGACGAAGGGCGTGGTCGACAAGCCGCCCCCAGCCATTCCCAGGCAAGTTTGGTATTGGCCAAGCCTGAGAACATGAGCTCCTCCTTTCCGAGATCCATTGCCCATGGCCGAGTTTCTTCAAACATGATTTCTTCTTGAGGATCGGACATGCTCTGGAGGCTTCAAGGTTCGTGTACGATGGACAACAACAATGGCTTGGACGGCATGGACGGACTGGAACTCAGGCTACAAGTATAGGGAATCGCAGCCTCACAAGACAATTTAAGACAAAGGCCCAGGTGTGAAGCAGCTGCCCTTGACAAAGAAGAAGATTGGATGGAAAGCACGTGGTTGCACGCTTCTTGCACTTGTGCCTCCGGCAAACCATGGACCCAAATATCTTTGTTATTGGAGAGAGCTGAGGGACACTGTGGGAGATTGACGTTCCCATGTCCGTAGCCACCCGTGCTCCCACACGGCTCTGAATCCAGTTCACTTCCCTCTCAACTCAGGAGGTCTTGTTGTAGCAGAAGAACAAGTCGGTGGATTGGATGGATGGCGAACATAAGGGACCTTCAAGGGACCTATCACTGGCGAGACCTGGGACCTTTCTGCTTTCTCTTTTGTCCCCTCTTCATCGGAGCCTGCGGCTGCTTCTTCGTGGGCTTCATGGTCTTCTTAGGTATGGTAGGCTTTTTGAATGAAAGGTAAGAGAGACAAGGTACACGCCATGGGTAACGCTACGCCACTGGTACACGACAAGGTACACGCTTCTTGCAAGCGAACGTAAGGTACACGGCATGGGGCGAGGAACCATGAATTCCCATGGTGAGCGTGACAATAAGCAAGAGGCCCACTACGCTGCCGGCCATAAACAAAAATTCAACACCCCAGAGGTCTAAGGGGGTGTGGGGTGTGTGCAAGGCATCCCTCAAGACCTTTGGAATACTGTAGTTTTTGTCTGTCTGTTGTCCTTTTCAATATGTCTACCTTTTTCTCTCTGGATGTGTTCAAACTTTTGCTTATGGAGGCAAAATGTTGGGATATGTTGGGTCTTGCCATGGAACCAGGTAGTAAATGAGAATAGTCTACCATCTTGCACATATCTATATATATATATCAATGTCTTATATATATATATATTTAAAAAAAAAAAAACAACTTGGTATTCACACTATATTTACTGATTCCTTCATTGCAATTAAAACATGTTGTATGGTCACTGGCCCGGATCCCTCGTCATCGGAGTGTGGGGGTCCGCAGGCCGGCGGCTAGATATGGCGGCCACCGACTCCAGTTCGGTGAAAGGAACATCGACCAGTCGACCAGACTGAGGGCCTCCCATTGGTTTAGGGCAAGAATTCCTTTTACTAATGGGAATCCCTTGTACTACTCGGAATCCATTTTATTTTTAATCAAGATCCAACACCACTCTTAAACATACACTCAGTTCCATGGGATGGTCTGGGTATGTGTTGAACCACCTTGGAACCGCTCGGAAGCGCGGCGCATTCACCGTGCGGATTCACCTCCAGAACGCATGGGGAAAGACGGCGCCTTCACCCAGACACCCGGCGAGTCGCACGAGGAAAGCTGTGGATTGGTGGATGAAAAGGGGTTGACCTGGCGATACTGATTCAGGGGGCATATACAGGAGTACTGTACTACACGTTCCATCAGGTTCCTACTTATTAGACCGATATCTAAAAATCTGTGGGATACCAAGGGAATTCCCATGGAAAACATGAAAACGTGGCATTCATCTTCAAACCGTTACAACCATGGCGGATCATGTCAAGACCACTCCGTGACTTTCTATCTGCTTGCTTCTCCAAATCCTCGGCCCTGTTCATCGAGCCAGTTACCCGGTGACTCCACCTGAATGGTCTCTGATTTGACCGCCTGGGGTCTCTGGATTTGAAAGCAATGGACACCTCCCACGCTCAAAATGCTTTGCCCAAACGAAGATCCGGCAGGCAAAAATAGATCAAAGGCCTAGACAATTGGAACACAATGGTTTTGATACATTACATTATATATTAAATATACTTATATACACACACGCGCGTATTATAGCATATATACAGTAAATACAGTACGAAAACTGTACTGTAGATACTGTAGTGAAATGTCGTGAAGAACGTCTGATGCCGAACACTGTAGATACATGTGCCCCTACGTCAGTAGCTGACAGGTACCCCCCTCATTGGGTGGCTCCTGGCCAGGCGACGAAGAGAGCGGACCACCACCTGACAGTGGGAGCTTTCAGCGGTTTTTGCGCAGCTCCGGCGCCGCCTGTCACGACCCAGCAGGTCTCGGAGTCCGGAGCCTGAGCGACTTAGTCAACATCTATTTATATAGATCCCTAGGGCTCCAAGTACCTTCTAAGAAGGTGTTTGGGGTGGGTTTAGAGGGTCCAAATACTTTCTGAGGAGGTACTTGGAGCCCTAGGAGATTATATATAGTACTTTGAGCCCGAGCGGCTTGGATAGCCGATCTTCCTTTGCCCGTTTTGGCCGGTCGGATCTCCTCAAGCTCGGGCCTAGAGTGAAGCGATCGATGGAGATTTTGCGGAAGCCTGGTCTTTGAAGCCCGCAGTGAGGTCATGGGTCCGAGAGACCCGCTGCCGACGCTGCCGCTGCCGACGCTCTACATGCCACATGGAGTTTCATCAGCCAGTCGTTCCATTGCTCTTTCCTGAGTCGATGTCGATGGCCGAGTCCGCCCGCCACCCAATCCATGGAATCCAGAGGACCGGTCAAGATGGCTGAAGAGGCAGCCGCCCGTTCGGCTAAGGAGCGGACTGAGTGAACAACGAAAGCTGAACATCAGAGAATGAACCTCTGTCCACATGCCCTTGCCAGCTTAGAATCTTCAAGATCTGAGCGACTCCAAGCACTACCCTGAACTCCACATCCCTCTAAAAGAAGAGACATGCCTCGCGTACATTGATCCACATACCCTCGAAGTCACGAGTTCATTGCACGGGCAGCATGTGTGCGGCTCTTAAAAGCCTCAACACATCCTTATCGCATTCACCTGTTTAACCCTCCTGTGATCTTGAAGGATTGTCGACCCACCAAACATCCTTTTTGGGCCAGCATCTTCGTCTACTCTGCTCTTTTGAGGTTCAGGTTTTGACTCGCATTACAGGTCAAGACCACGCCTGAGACGAAACACCAGAAACGCCACTGGGACGCGAGAGTAGATGGATGTGGACCTACCTGACGGAAGACAAGTGCAATGACTCTGACCATGTTGACCGAGCTCTTTTGCAAGCAGCCCAGATGAAGTCCTTGATCAATCAGCTCAAACTCAAATAGCCCGTATACGGCTGTTTGCTGTTATCGCCATTTGATGTAGTTCGTCCACTTTCAGCGTAAGACAGTGGTTCTTCCGTGAAATCTGGCTTTCTGCATTCCATGAAAACGACTTCAGCTCTTAAGCATCCACATCAGGCTGAACCTCGCACTTCGACCCAAACCCTGGGACCGTGCGACGGACCTCGCGTTGAAAACGGACCGCGCGCGTGAAGCCGTTCACCGGACCAAGGAGCGGAAATGCCGATGAGGAACAGGACGGTGCTGAGATCCATCTGATTGATGCGATATCTGGAGACTTCTTGCACCTGGCCGTGGTATCTACGCTCGGCGGTCACGGCACTGTGGGTTCGCGCGTCCCTCGTTTCCTTCCTCTTATTTTCGTTTGGGTTCGGAGAGAGGGATGTCAACAAATTTCTAAACAGCCCTCGATTCAGTCAGGTATTATATGCCTCTTCGGGACTTCCTGTCCAAGTACATATATATATATATATTATGTATATGTGTATTCAATCAATGCATTGGAAGGTGCTGAATAGAGTGCGGAAAGCCGTATATAATGATCTTGTGGGCAAGCATATGACATTGACAGTAAATAAAGCTGAACAAGTTAACAAGTCAAGCCTGACTTCAATACATGGAGGGAAGGTACGTGTACCACCCACCGACTCTGGTTTAGAAGACCCAGGCGAGTGGAAGTTCGTCCATCGCACACATGTCTTGTATTGCACACTATTTGGATCTATTTTGCATTCAGGCTCCCTGGGAATGCATTCCAGCAAATGCATGTGGCCGGTAGTATCAAGAGCAAGAATGACCCCCTGATACGCCCTGTCTGTCCAAAGAAACGCCCGACCAAGATCCCGTCCATTGTGCTCCATTCATCTCCCATTCCGCAAACGCATCATTCTCCCTTTCCCAAACTCAACCGCTTCAACTCTGAACATGGAAGCCCAAATGACCCACGAAATCATCCCAAATGACCAAGTCCACCACTTGGGGATACCTGCCCACTCCTTCGTGCCCTTTGATCATGCCCACCTTGGGCTTGGCACAAAAGGCGATGCCAAGTCCAGCTGCATGGAGCATCGGGATGTCATTGGCGCCGTCGCCCACAGCGATGGTCTGCTGGATCTCGCAGCCTGAAAATCTCAAATCCGCTTTTAATGGGCCCAAGAGGAGTCAGGACTTGGTCATGTATATATATATATATCTGTATTATACAGAACAATGACACCTAGCGCTTGTGGCTGGATCTTCGGATGTGGATCTCTACACGTCACCGGGTCGGCCGCGCCTTCGACGTTGGCGATGGTGGCCAAGAGCTGCCGCTTCCGCTGAGGGGTGACCACGGGCCCCGAGGTCTGGCCGGTCAAGAGGCCTCGCAGCTGCAGAGGTCTCGCCGGTTGGATGGAGCTCATCAGGATTCGAGGCTTCACCAACCGGCTACCCTAGTTATATATTATATTATACAGTACATATAAGTATCTACAAAAAGTATACACATCTCCGCCTACCCTGGCCTGTTTCCTCAGACTTGCTCGCGCGTTTCCTTTCACTTGCCTGTTGTCTCGTCCACCTCCAAGGTGTTGGCGAAGGCGTAGTCCAAACCCAAATATCTCTGCACCTGAAGAGTAGAAACCAGTCAACGCGAACTGCATCTACCAACTGCTCACTAAAGGGATTGATGAGAATCGTGGTGAGTGAGAAACCAGCAAAAGCCAGAAAACACGCAGTTGGTGCTGTGTCTTCACAGAAAAGTATGGTCATGAAAGTACAAGGATTCCTCGCAAATTTGAGCATGCGCTTCAATCAATTGTACAAAAGAACTGATCCATCAAGACATGATCAGGTGACTACAATAGGACATCTTGTTTGAGATGTTTGGTCTCCAAGGAGACCTCCAAGAAGCCCCTTCGAACCTAATCAATCAGGCACTACTGTATCTCTACATATATAATTACACTGGACTGTATATATGATATGATACAACTATACAATGTGTGTGTGTGTGCACATCAACATGTTGCCTACTTCCCTTACTTCCTTGCTTTGCTGCTTGTTTAACTTAGTCCTCATTGCTCAAAGGCCTTCACTCCATCTCTCGCTGGAAAAAGCAACAAAAAAACACTTTCCCCCACCTCCTGCGCTACGGGCAAAAAGCCTCCTGAGATCACTGCAGTCTTGAAACCTAAGCCTTGGTTGCTGGTGCAGGGGAATCAACGACGATCAAAATCGATGCTTTCTCTGCCAAATCACCGCAACCAGCTGTTCTAACATCTGAGGAATCTGGGAAGACTTTGCCAAAAGCATTGAGTTGGTTCTAGTCAACTATAAACCAGCCAGCCTAGGTCAATCAAACTCTTTGTATGGTTTCCGTATTCCCATCACTCCCACCAAAAGCATCTGCACATGTCAATGTGGGAACCTTTTTAAAGTATTTTAAAGTGACTCTAGTGAGTCGTACACCTTGTTACCTAGTGACCTGCTGTCCAGTGGTACACCTTGTTACCTGTTATTTTAAAGTGGTCTAGTGACCTGCTGTTACTCGCACCTGCCGCTGTTCCCTATGCCAATTCATCAAGTCACGCTTCAAGCAGGTGCAAAGTTTCTTGGCTCCAGGTGTAAAAATGAGGTTCGCCTTCGGTGCGTCGAACTGCCCGTTCACGACGACCGTTCTGTCTCCACGACCGTCGAACTGGTCCAAAGGTCCGAAATCGATTCCCGTTGCACGTGTGGGCATTTTGTTCTTTTTGCATCAGTGAATACCCCCAACCTACTGAAGCAACCAACATCCTTCCGACTCTTCTTCTCAAAGACTGATTGATCTCTATCGTGACATATAACCAACATTCCGTTGATCACAGTGCTCCACTGTCCTCTGTTGATCTTTGGGGTTTCAATTGTCGCCTGGTCGTTTGTTGCGGAGTCTTGGCACGTCTTACCGTCTTGTCAAGCATGAGTGCCGTGCCTTATCGTCTTAGTCCCTGGAGACACCGTGATGATGCGTCTACATGACGAAGGCTGACGTAGGCAGCTTGGCTCTGTTGAGATGTGTTACGAGTGGGTGTCCAAATCATCACTTTGCATCACGGTCTCTCTGTGTACTGCGGTCAACAAAAACCGTATGTAGCCTACTAGTCATGCTATTTTCTTGCCCATCTGGCGATTGGGGTACACCATGGTACACCGTGTACACCACAAACCTCCAATTGAGACACCAAACCTCCAAGGCTCCGGGTGCCCATCAACCCCTCGGCCAGGCCCATCAGTCTCCAGCCTTCACCTTGGCAAAAAGTTCCTCCGCATTGTGGCCTGGTGATCAGTCATTGGCTCGTTGAAGGGTTTTCTCTTGCCCACGGTGGTTCTCTACCCGGGGGATGACCCCTGGACACCAAGGACTGGGTTGTCATGGCTTGCGGGTTGTCCCTGACGAAAATGAAGTGACAGTCTATCCATCGAAGAACATGGTGGCGATCTGGCTACCACGTGGCCATTGAGTTGACGAGGATGTCATCGACACAACGAATGCCATCTGTAAACGGATAATCTAAACCCGTGCCGTCTTGCTGACCATCAACATGTGAACAGTCTAGTCCCAACATATCCCAACAATTTCCTGACTTACCAACACCCAAAAAGCTACCCTCACTGCAGCAGTCATCAATTGCAACCCCCCAAATGCACAACACCCTCCCAACAATGTTAAGAACTCAGCCACCCCCACTCTTGATGCACGCTGCGCCCTGCGCACCGGCAGCCTTTCAACAAGGCGACCCGGGACTTCAGCGATCCAAAGAAGTCCAGCTCCCCACGCATGGCCGCCTCGGTGATCTCCTGAGCTGGGTCGCAACACTTGCGACTCGCGAAAAACGCGGAGGAAGATCACGCAAACGTAATACCTGGAATTTGCCAGGTTTCCGGCATTCCTTCTTTCTGGCATAAATCCTGGCATTCTACCTGGCATATCGTCTGACAGTCTTTCTGACATTCTATCTCGCACTCTCTGGCATATGTGGGCTCTCCATCTGGCAAATCTTTGGAAACTCTTCATGGTATATCTTCTAGCACTCTAACTGGGACATCTTCTGGCATTCTATCTGCCACATCTTCTGGCAATCTTTCTGACATTCTACCTGTGATTTAAGTACCTTCTGACAGTCTTTTCTGGCATGCTATCTGGCATGTCTCTGGCATATCTCTTCATATGACTATCTGGCTTGTCTTCCTAATTCTGGCATTCTAGATGGTGTGCAGGCCCGTGCGTGCCCAGACTGAGCTGGCGCTCTCTATGGTGCTGACAGATGCAGTGACACGACCCTATGGCAGGAGAATGTGGGCGGAGGACGGAAGGATGGAAGAAAGGAAGGAAGGAGGGAAAAGAAAAGAACAACAGAATGGAACAAAAAAGAAACAAAAAGGGACAGAAAGGAAAAAATAAAGACAGAAAAACAACAAGAAAGGGATAAATAAGGAGGAAAGGAAGAAAAGCAGAAAGACATAAAGAATTCATTAAAGAATTAAAGAACGGAACGTAAGCTTGAATCAGCTTTGCTAAGGAGACCTTGGTAGATGCAATGAGGAATCCACCCAGAACATTCAATCAAAATGAAGAGAACACGTGGAAGTCAAAAGTAATGATTTCAAGTATGTGCACAATGATGCACAATGCATTAGATATTGTTACATATGATTTTGTTCAATTGTTCAAACATATTTATGCCATAACGTGTATTTATGCTATATAATCACGTTGGGGAAATGTTGGCTGATGTTGGCTGTATTCAAGTGCTATTTGCTGATTGGCAACGGTGAGAGTGTTCTGATCTGCCCACATCCACTGGTCACAAAAAGACCCGGCCCTGCCCGGTGGAAACGGTCCTTCACTTGGGTCTCAACACCCGCGAGCTTCGCCAGCTCATCGATCACCTGCTACGAGATCGTCGGCGCAGAATCAGTTGGGAGGAGTCCAAAGCCCTTGGTCCAATGAATAGGGGTGACTCCAACCAGCTTATTGCTCGGTTTTTGCTGTTTAAAAAGAGACACACTGCGGGAGTGAGACCTGTTCACTGCCTCAAATCTGCATGTCAAAGACCTTGTGGAGGTTGCTGGTCCAAGTCGGCAAAGAAGAAACATAAAGAAACACTGTTTAGAGGTCCGAACGGAAGCGCAATGTTGGGTTTCTTCCCACAGGATACAGGTTTTCCAGTGCGGAGCAAGTGACGATCCGCGAACTTCTTCCAACCAGCAACGGCGACCGGTGAACTGATACCAGATCGTAGGCTTTGAGACAGTTCCCATTCCCTGTAGCGTTTTAGGAAGGGTCACTCCATGGTGCATATGTTTTGCAAAAGAAGTCCAACAAACTCCATAGGTTGGTAAAGAGGCAAACCCAAACATCATGAACAGGCCCGTTTCAGGGCCATGAAATCTTTTCAATGCTCAGGACATTGAAAAGCCCACCCTCTGAGCCCTCATGAGCCCACTGACTTCGGCTTTTTGCCCTGCTCACCTCTTGCTGAATCAAAGTACTGTCCATGTCAAAGACCACGAGTCCTCAGAGGTCGAAAACGAAACAACAAGTCACAGCTGGTCTGCCGGTCTGGTCTGCGCAGTGAATCGTTTTGGTGGATGCCTGGTCGCCCTGGGTCATACGTCCTTATTTATATGCAAATTAGATTTAAGAAAAGTCATGTATACGATAATAATGTTGACTTCCTAATAGTAAATGGCCAGTGAATAATACTAAATCTTTTCAAACACCAATAATAAATGGACCTCAAATAATACTAAATGTGTTCTGGACCTTGATTTTCAGCTGCTTCCAGACCTTGATTCATCCAAGCTGATTCTGAGCTTTCAGCTGATTCCAAAACCTGATTACTTTGTGGTTTCCTTTACTCTGGAATTTTGATTTGGCTGCTGCATTTTCCTTTTAAAATTGCTTATTTGGGCATTGCCATTTGTAACCTAAAATCAACCCACAAAGACCACCCCCCACGAGCAGCCCAAACCTTCAATTACTCCAGGCCTCAAATAATACTAAACACTCCCTGGCTGGTTCTTTTCGTGATTTCCTTTCCTTTCATTGTCCTTTCAATTTCCTTTCCTTTCCTTTCATGTTCCTTTCATTTCTTTCCCTCTCCTTTCATTGTCCTTTCAATTTCCTTTCCTTTCCTTTCATTGTCCTTTCAATTTCCTTTCCTTTCCTTTTATTTTCCTTTCAATTTCCTTTCCTTTCCTTTTATTTTCCTTTCATTTCTTTTCCTTTCCTTCAATCTCCTTTCCTTTCCTCTCATTTCCAATTCAACTACCTTTGTACATAATTCAAATCAATATTTTCTAGGATTTTTCTGGATTTCACATTATTTGGGGCCCGCACTTGATCAAGGGGGGAGGGGGGGTTTATTATTAGGAGGTGGACATTACAACTTTAGAAGTTACTGTATGTAGATATTCCAAGGTTGCAATATGCGTTGCTTATCCAGAGGTCTGTCTCTTACCTTCCAAGCCTTTGATTTTTGCTGCCGAGCCACGGCGCATCCAGCGCTCCAGGTCGTCCCGCTGGATGGCGATGTCGGCGCCGTGCTTCTTGGAGACCTCCACCTTTGGCCGTGCTGTTGGAGAGGGTTTGGTGCTTGCTGGTGGTGCTGGTGGGTGCGAATGGTGTTGGGAAACACTTCTCGCGGGGGGCGATGATGGGCGATGGAAACACATCTTTTCGAGCTGTTGGCAGGTGGAAAGTACCAAACACATCCAACAAGTACATGAAAATGCAAAGATAGCTTGACCATCACATGTTCCATCACCTTCTTGCCAAAGCAAGATCGATCGCCATGTGCCATCGGCGGAATGAAATCCCACGGGCTGGGCTTCCCAAACCATCTTGCTGGCAAAGTCATCGGATGAAAGGTCATCTGGCAAACTGACCTCAAGACACGGGCAGCTCAACACACGGGCGATGCGTTCACAGACTATTCGGAGCCCAAGGCAGTGGGGCGTCGAATGGGACCTGGCTTCTGTATGAACGCCCTCTTCAGGTCCTAAACAAGCCTCAAGTTGCCTCAAGGTAGATGTTCTTCATAGATCATCTAGATCTATGTGTATTTATCATCTTCCTGGTGTTTGGAGTTCATTGAGAAACGTTGCTTCAAGAGACGCGAGAGTCTCAGAACAAGAAGTTTCAACAAGTCAATGGCCTCAGGTGGATCTTTTGTACAGCAACAAAGGTGTTGATCCACTTGTCCACACTGGACACAGAAACCTCTGGCTTTTGGATGTCTTCGTCGGTCACAAAACAAAGGGATATAGATATGGATTAATATGGATATATAGAAATATACCCTAGGGCTCCAAGTACCTCCTCAGAAGGTATGACTGGACCCTCCTGGCACCCACCCCAGTCCCACCTTCTTAAAAGGTACGACTGGAGCCCTAGGGATATATATATATATACATATTATCCATATAAATATCCAAAGGAATTCACGTTTTGTATCTCCTTTGCAGTCCGACCAAGCACGCGGTGCTCTTCGCTGAGTGGCTGTGAACTGGAGGGAGGCGATATCGCGTGTGCTGAGTCCTGAAGAAGTCAGTCATGAAATTGCCGTGAAATCAGTCCACATAGTAACTTGCCCCAAAACAACCATGTATTCGTCGATCAAAAAAAGGGTAGCGCCAGGCGCCCTGTATTGAAAATGATTACATGGACTAACTTGAACTATTAAAGTTACCAGCCTGTGCAGCATATCTTCTTCAACATCAAGTAAAACGTTCTTCGGCTTTCCTCTGTTCAGCCCGTCAGCCTTTGACCAACCCCGGGACGTCCACCCGAAACGACCCGAAAGCGGTCGGTCGTTCAATCTTGATGATGTTGATCCCATTGGAGCCAATGGCCCCCAGCACCTGGACGACCGGTGCCACGCGTCGAACCGATGGGATGGGGGCGGGGCGAAGGAAGCGAAAGTGGTCGACGGTCGATGGAAGATGGTGAAGCTTTCGTTCCTGAAGAAAACCGACGCATTCGTCCCCAAGGGGTGCAGAAAAATATCTCCAACAAGAGCAAGGAATAGCAAAGGACATACAGGGACTATGTTTGGTCTCCAGAAGAGGAGGATTTTCATCCAGGCTGATCCATCTCCAACTGCAGAATTTCTTCAGCAGTAGTACATCAGTCTTACATGGTCTTCAGGGTATAGGTGTATAGTTGCAAAACAGAACATGCATTCAATGTCATTCAATGCACTCCCAAATTTGCTTGTGTAGTCATATCATATTTTGATTGAGCATGTTGAACCTGCTGGATTGAACTCTTCATCCAGATTCAGCCTGACCAGCATCTCCAATCTACAGCTTCTGCCCAAAGCTTTAAGTTCTGCTGATCATCATCATCAATTGGCCAGTGCGCCCCAAGAATTCATCCCCATGGATCTACAAGATGTCCATACCAGCTAAGTCATCATGCTGAGTCCAGTCCAGTGAGGGCGTTTTTCAGGGTGAAAGTTCACAGCTGAAATAACCTCACACCAAACAACAGCCGTTCACCCTTCGCACTCAAGATGGGAACTTGAAGGCTTCTCAGGACTCGTGGTTCTTCGGACATGTTTGGACATCTGGCTGTGGGTCAAGATCAGGGGAAGCCCGGTTGATCAAAGGAACAAAAGAGAGGACGCAAGGGATGTCAACCATGGAGCGACTCATCACAGGACGCAAGGGTACAAGCCTTTACAAAATGCAAGTAAAGGACCAAGCTGTATCAAGGGAAAGTACCAACAATACGTACCCCCCACGGGTGGGGGTCAGTCATCTCATGTCATCTCTACCTTGAAACCTTCCGGGTTACTACGTTGCGAAGAACAAAACGACATGCGGGTCCTGCGAGCTGCGCCTCACTCAGGGAAGTGCTACTGATGTTGGGCTTTTGCACCATCGTGAGCACCTCAGGCCCAGCGGAGCGAGTTGGGCACCTCGCTGTGACTGCCTGGTCCAGCTTCGACTGCCTGGTCCAGTGCAGGACGAAGAAGCAACGGCATCTTCTACCCGCAGAAAAATGACAATCGTAGGACAATCGACAATCGCAGGATAGTTGCATCAATCTTCGAACGACTTCCAGCATTGTTGCATCAAATCTTCTACCCGCAAACAGTGAGCTGTCTTCGCAATCGGCCCACGCTGGCAACGCTAACCAAAGCCACATATCTATTGGCATATCGCGTCTTCCAATTGAAATCCTTTGCAGAATCATTCACATCCATGATGGTCAAGCCGACCTGCTGGCAGTGCTAGGAAGCTACTCCTTTGGTGAGGCAACCCTTATATAGAGGAGGGAATTCAGGCATGGTCATGATAGGTGTGAAATGGAGATCTGTGGTTCTAACTGCCTGAGCATGGCCAGAAACACACAAATTCAGGACTGAAGGTACCAGGCTTACTACCAGGGCTTTTTAGTTTGGGATTGGAAACTAGTCATGCCGTAAAGGAAGCCAGCAAGTAAGTCTTCAGAACTCCCTGTTTACAGGGCGCGAACCTGGAGGTTGCGAGGTCCCCTTCTTGGAGCCATCTCTTTGAGCATTATTCCCCTTCACCATCTTTCATCTTCTTGAGCTTCTCAGAATGGGATAGATGGCCACCAACAACCTTTCGACAAAACCGACATGAATGAGTGAGAGCTATTCTCATGTTTGGTGACAAGTGCATCGCATCAGCTGATCCCTCAGCTTCCCATATTCAAACGGTTCTCTTTTCGTGGGGAAACCATGGAAGGATGTTTAAAGCTTTAAAAATCAACCACTCACTGGCAATCACGGAAGTCAAAGTGCGCTTCTTGGATCTGCAATAAACGCATAATATTTAATTAGTTATAACAATACAACAAACATATAGTGTATGCACACTGCAAGCAAATATCCTGCTGAGGAATCCAAACTATGTTGTTATATGTTTATTACTTTTTTAAATAACAATTCTGTATTAGATGAGGGATCATGTACTTAACCATGTAGTCTGTGCACAGTCCCCAAACTTAGATGGTGATTATTCCCATGTCCTCTCAAAAACGTGAACCACTTGACCGATGCTTGACCTGCTAGGTCACCATGAGCTGCGGACACCCTAATTCAGAGGTGAGTAATCCCAAAACAACTAAAACATAAACAAACAGGTTCTATACTCCAAATTGGAGGAGTTGTGTGTATATAGACTTATACTTATACTGTAATCAACAGTCTACATTGCATGGACCGACCAATCCTTCTGACACGCGAAGATCAAGTCTTTCACCACCACGTCAGGCTGCTCCTGCAGCGGAGGCAGCAGAACTTGCTGCCAAAACGGTTTTTGTGTCAGTGTATTCGTGTCCAACTACTCCAGGGAAGCAAACAACTTCCAAAAACAAGTGGTTTAAGCTGGAAAACATGATGAAAACAGGATGTTTGATCGTTCGGCGGACCACTCATCTCTCTGGAGCCTATGCTTTGAAGTCTGAGTCACATTCTCTTCTCGAAGCATTTTGGTGTTTCTGGACCCCAGCGTCTCCACCAGCGTCTCCCGGCTGTGCCGAAACCTGACACCGAAATCCAGCCATGTTTTTCAGACGTGTTGCTTCTCAGACACTCAGACACTCCATGTGTGTGGCACATATATATATATATATATATATCTACATGTCTATCCCTTTTCAAACCACCCCTGGCCTGATCGGCAGTCCTATGCCAGTCCCAGCTCGTGTCGCTTGGCTTCGGCCGTCCTTCAGCACTGTGAGGTCCATGCCGAGACACATGCCACCGTCCTGGCGTTCACGGATGGTCCGCACCGAACAAGTCAACCATATATATACAGTATATATCATCCCCACCCACATGGGGGGGAGCTTTTTACTGTCACTTACATTTTCCATAGGTTGGTACCTGGAAAATGTAATCTCACATTTTCCTTGCAAGACGTAGAACATGTAATATTACATTTTCCAGGTGCCAACATGCCTGAAATGACCTCAACAGACATGTAAGTTACATTATAAAGAAAATAATGTAAGTTACAATTAGGGGACGTATGGGAAAGCATGCACAGATTGCACAGACATGTGAGATCATTTGAGCATTGCTCAAAACCTATCGGGAATTTGTTCTAATGGGCTCTTCTTTCGCAAGTTCCTTTCGCAACACTTTCGCGACTTGCGTTTTGGAAATTCTGAGCAAAAACACGTTAGCAAGCTTTGGCGGACGGAACTGATTTCGCAAGCTTTTGCTGGCGCTCTCCCCAGTTTTGGTTTGTCCCTGGTTCCCAGCGTAATTACAGTTTCTTTTCAGGTATGTCCTTCTTAAGGCTTATCTTCTTTCTAGCTGTTGTTTCTCTAGATTTGCTGGCGCCCTCCCCAATTTTGCCTCATCCAAGGTTCTCAGCTTACAATTTTCTCTTTAAAGTAGGTATGTCCTTATTAAAGTTTATCGTCTTTCTAGCTGTTGTTTCTCTAGATTTGCTGGTGCCCTCCACATTCTTTGCTTATCCCAGGTTCTCAGCTTATATTTTCTCCGTAAAGTAGGAATGTCCTTCTGAAGATCTTCTTTCTAGCTGTAGCTGCTGTTTCTCTAGGTTTGCGGGCGCTCTCCCCAATTTTGGCTTCCCACAGGTTCTCAACTTACATTTTGTTTTCAGGTATGTCCTTCTTGAGGCTTATCTTCTTTCCAGCGGTTGTTTCTCTATATTTGCTGGTGCCCTCCCCAATTTTGCCTCATCCAAGGTTCTCAGCTTACATTTTCTCGGGAAAGTTGGTATGTCTTTCGGAAGACTTATCTTCGTTCTACAGTAGCTGTAGCTAGTGTTTCTCTAGATTTGCTGGTGCTCTCCCTAATTTTGGCTTCTCCCAGGTTCCCAGCTTACATGTTCTCTTAAGTATGTCCTTCTTAAGTTTATCTTCTTTCTAGATGTTGTTTCTCTAGATTTGCCGGTGCCCTCAATCATTGCTGTCGAGTGCGCAGCTTGTCACAGGGTCACACGCTTGGCTGAAATGCTATGGTGGCCATGCATTTTCAAGCCGGCTTTTTGCATGTTACATTTATGTCTTGTCAAAAGCAAGAAGCATTTGGGTTTTTGCTGCTTTGGCCTTCTGAAAGAATACGTCCAACCTCCCTAAGTTACATTTTTCTATCTATAAAAACAGGGGGGGACCTGGACGTCAATAAATGTAATTTACATTTTTTCACGACCCCCCCCCCCATGTTTTTTTCTGCGTCTCTTCTGTCGGTGTTTCCCCCGATTTCCCCAGGGATCTGCCAGAGATCTCCAGTCCGCGCATGTGTTTTTTGGGGGGAGGGAGTCAAAATGTAACTTTGAAGCTTTCACAGACACAAAATGAAGCAACCTTCTACGCCTTTGCTTGATTTTGCTGGCTGCGTGAGCAAGGTCCAACCCCCCGCCACCCCCCCCAAAAAGGCCTGAAACTGGACCAGGGGGGGTGGTAAGTTACGTTTATCATCCCCCCCGAAAAAGTAAGTTACAATAAAAAGGTCCCCCCCTGTTGATTATATATACATATATATAGTTAACCGCTTCAATTCACATTGTATGATATATGCATGGGCCTTTGGCATGAGCAAGAGGAACAAGGATATGCATGGGATGAGCATCTCTGGCAGGAGCTGCTTCCTTCACGGTGCAACTCAAGGAGACCCGAGTCAGTCAGTGAGCTGTCTTCTTGTGATTGTCCTTGAGGAGGGGCGGTCCCATGTCGATGATTGGTGTATTTAGGAGAAAGTGCTTTGTGACGTCCTTGACAATCTGATGCTGTAGAGTAGTTCAGGTAGAATGGAAAAAAATATGAACAATGGAAAGATCATCTATTATATACACTATATACATAAGCACTGCAGTCAAACGTGACATGCCCACAGGGCCCCACAGCAACTAGATTTGCACACAACGACAGTGCCTGGGGACACCACAAGCACAAAAAGCACGAACATCTGGAGCACGTCGCATACGATCCGATGATATACCTTGTGAAAAAAAGGAAGAACTCCTGTACCGATCCACAAAGCTATGACATCTTGGGGGGCAGGAGTTCCATAGGAAGTTCAACCCATTTTTTCCCCTACACCGCCCAAAAACATCCGAAAGTATGCAAAAGTGGACTCCTCCAGCGAACCCCGCACCCAACCTTTGAAGTAGACTTGAGTGGGTTCTCAAGTTCCGCTCTTCAGTCAGGCGGATGGGTAAACATGCGGTTCATCCGCCTGCAAGCTGCATTGGCGGATGGTGGTCAGCTGGACATTCGAGCCTTGGGGTGCCAAGGGCTGGAAGATGCTCTGCAACTGACCAGCGGTGCGCTGCTGCGCACTCACCTGGCGTGCGATACTCCGTGGCGATCGGCCGATCGACGATCAAAAAAACACCGACAGCCGCCCTTTCGCAAGCAACATCAGAGGCTCTCAATGAACCTATATAGGCAATGTATATATATATACACCATTATATACCCTTTCACCTGGCCTTGCTTGCCTTCGCATGCAACGATTTCCCTCCTCCTTGAAGGTCAAGAGGATGAGTGCTCCATGATGATAGTCTTCCAACCCCAACGTGTTTGAAACGGGAGAGTCTGCAAGGCCCCAAACACCAAATGACACCAGAACAGCCCCCCAAAAAGCCTTGACGTACCCACTTCCCTTCTCCACAGAACACCCCCCAAAAAAGCCTTGACGTGCCCACGTCCCTATCTCCACCATGTCGGGTCTTCATTCATTCCTCACTCCCCACCTGCAGCATGAAGCGCTTGCTGCTGGGAGGTGCCTCCACAGAGCTTGTCGTCTTAGCCTCCCCAGGGCCATTGTCCCAGCGACGCTTGCGCAAGGCACGCACGTCAGAGCCGCTGAAGCCCAGGAGGTAGAGGACAATGGTGAGGTCCTTGAGCCTCAAACGCTCTCTCAAATGCAGACATACGTGGGCACTGCAGATTTTTTCCTGGTGAAATGCGTGATTCAGTCCAAATCTGCTTGGGGGTGTTTGTGAGTTGGAGTTGAATAAAAGTGGTAAGGGAAAGGGTACTGGAGAGGGTTTATGAACAGATTGGGGAAGGTGGTGTTCCAGATGCTTGTTTTTGATCCAAGGACCTATGGTAGATGAGTTAATGTAGCTAATGACCACTGTTTCGACAGGACAAGGATTGAACATGAAAAGCAGGAGTCACTCAGGATGCAGGATCCAGCAGGATCTAGGTATGGACGCTGTATACAGTGAGTGATCCTGAAATTGAAAACAGCGTGTTCTCCTCAAATAATTTTCGATGAAGATCGGTTTCCTACTGTCCTCTCTGTCGCATCCTTGAGCCTTTCAAACCCACTGACTAGGGCCTTCTCTTGGATCTGTGCGTGAACTGACTTGGGCCTTGTTTCAGTGAAGTGAGCCGGTAGAAATAAAGAACGAACCGAGCGCTGAACAGCTGAACGCTGCGCCAGTGTGGACCGGACTTACTGATAACTTCCTTGCAACATTCTTATCATTCTTGTACTCCTTCTGGAAAACTGCACTTAGACGTGAATCTGTGGGGTATGTGATTTGTGCGGTTGCTCTCCTCCAACAACTTGTACTGAGGTTCCATGGCCGGGGTCTTGTCTAGTCTATCTGTTCCTAAATTTAGGACAACGTCTCACATTGAAGAAACCACACAAAGACCACGATCCTTCCGAAGGACCTTCCTATCAACAGTGAAATGAAACACATTGTCTGCCCAGCTGGCAAAGCAACATGATTACCCTTTTCGGAAACGATCGGCTTCCGCCCAACTGGCGTTTGGTTAAAACACACACACACACACCTTCAGCAAGGAGCGGTCACCTGTTGCTGCTTTGTACCTATATATAGTAAGTATCAACATACTATAGCATACTTATATAATTGAACATCATTCTTGATAATAAGGCATGTACCATAGTCTACCAAACGACCCACCAACCAGAGTCACTGCGATGTACTGGCATCCCCGGATGGTCCGTCCGTTCCGACGGACTCGTCTCGTCTCGTACGGACGTTGTCGAAGGCACTTCACCGAGTTGAAGTACACCGTGGGGCCAAAGGTCTCCAACATGAGCCGGGCATTGGCGGCCTGAAGAACCGGAGCCCGGAGCACGGTTTTTTGAGGAAAAAAGAAATAGAGGTGTGTGATGGTGTGTGAGTGATTGTGTGTGTATGTGCGTCGACAGGCTGGGAAAACGGTGAACAACCCTTTCCAAGCAGCTTCTATCTGAGTTTTCTGGAGGACTGCATCTTTCAAACAGCCACTCCTATGGGTTTTCGGCCAAAGGGGTCACGCAAACACGCTGCTTTGGGGTGAAAGAAAGAGCGAGGATCCCCTAAACAACCCTTTGTCCACTTGAAAAGGTTGAGATGTGTCAACCTGAGGCCTTCAAGTTAGAATAAGGAATTTCCCTCGAGGTTTTAACATGCTTTAACCTAACCCATATGCCATACTTCATCCTATGGTTTCACAACACCACCAAAGTGGAACTTGGCAGCCCGGAGACGAACTCTTGCAGAACACCATGTCTACCACCTGGAGTGACGAACTCATGGCTTCACCATGGCAAAACTCTCTCCCACTGTGGTCTTCAAGGTCTCCCGGTGCTGTTGCAAAACAGAGCTTGCACAGAGCTGTTCACCCTTTTTCCACCTCTTCCAGACCCGCACACCGTGCAACGCGTGCAACGGTCAGACCCGCAAACCGTCTGCCATCCGCTCTCCCGCTCTCCCGCTGCGACGGCGCCTTGAGCCCCTTCAACGGCTCACCCACCGTGATGACGTTCTGACATCGCACGCCTGGACGCGGACGCGGACGGCGAACCCGGTTCGGACCCGCGGTTCGGGCTCCGTCTCAGTCTTTCCCCACAAAAAGGACCGGTGAAGAAGGAACTCCTTAATTTTTTGCATGAATAAGGATTTGGCTTCGGATTTGGATCGAATCATATCGACATTTGTGGCATAAAAACTGAAAAACCAATGTCGGCCCTGATAGGGTGAGGCTGGCGCGTCCTGAAGTAAGAGGAAACCGGTTCGAGTGGATGCATTTGGAAACGAGATTGGGCGGACTTCAATGTCCAACCTTAAAGCGGCGGAAGAGCTCGTACTCAGTACTTGCATGGAATTCCCTTGAGGGAGCTGGAGGAAAAAGGCGCCATTTGCCTGTGGGTTGACCTACCTACTCACAAAGGACGTCCTTTCCCAGTCTTGGCACTTTGAGAAAGAACAGGACCCACCATAGCCAGACACTCCACGTGTGGCATATTTATCTACATTGACCCCTGAAACCACCCCAATGTAGGTAAATATGCCATACATGGAGTGTCTGTATATATATATATATATCTACTTTTTGTTTATCAGTGGCCTCCCATGGAAACTCCCACTTAAACCATCGTCGAGGATCGCCAAAAAGCTCCGTGTCCATGCGTCAAACTGCGCGTCAGTTGTCTTCAGCGACCCGGGAGATACAACAACCACCTGGAAATTCCGCCTCGCTCAGTTGCACCAACTCAATACCTTTTTTGGGGGGGGCCATGGGGCATGCTTTCCTCGGAAACCGTTGCCTTCACGCTCGGCCATGAGCTTCAACAAGTCCGTCTTGCGGAACTTCACGTCGGACAATTCGCCCAAATACCTCGACCCGGCAGTGGCGATTCTAAGCCCCACACTCGAGGAGTCAAACACACTTGGAGAGGCAACAGGGAGTCGTTTTGCTGCTTCAGGCATTCCTAGGAGAGGGTGGTCTTTTACTTTTGATTATCCAAAAAAGGAGCAGCTTCACCACCTTCTCCAAAGTTGCTTGAATGTCAGTGTCAGCAAAAGACCATGCAAGAGGGAAAACAACACTATGATCCAGGCTTCTCGAGGCCAAAACCAGCCAAAGCCGGAAGGTGGAGGATTAATTTTCACGTGGCCTTTGACCTCTTGATGCAACCTTTGTACTACTGTAAGGAACACATCCAGCACCATGTTCCAAGGTGCTCAATTCACTTGCATTTGTCTTATAACGTTTACTTCTCACTAGACTCCAGAGTCACCATTAATCATTAAACAGCGGGATTATTCTTCTCAATCGCCGTTGCAGCTGCAGGATTTCGAGGCGGGGAAACTCATCCCAACGCGATTGTGGCGAAACTCTTACAGCTGGTCAAACTCCACCGGACGCGTGGAACACGAGTCACCAGGGTCCGACGGGTACGGCGGAGCAGCTCGGGCCTTCCAGTAAAGCAGCCATCCGCTTCTTCCACATCTCGACAAATCCTTGGAGCATCCGTCGCACCGAGATCGCGACCTCTTCTCTTTGTGACCGGTGATCCATGAAAAAAGGCACCTGTCAGCCTGTTCATGGAGAGCAAGATGTTGATGGCCGTTGTCTTTTGGTAGAAAACTATACACATGTGGCAGTGATGAGTGACCGATCTCTTCTTCAACGTCTCTCACCCGTTCCATCCGAACACGAAACCCGAGGCTCACATAGTCGAAACCCAGCTGGCTCTTCACATGTTCAGCAATCTCCCGCAGGCCTCACAAAAGAGACCAACCAGGGAAACCATCAAAGAAAGGATCAAGGCGTCTCCATACGAAGCGGCACTCTGCGCCTGTGTTGGTCAGAATGGCCAATCGGCAGCCCAGGCGCTTCATGGCCCCACACACGACCTCGCGACGAAATGGCCCCAACTCCACCGTTTTTCAACGTGTCACCGCTCTCACCGCTGAAGTCCCGCCAGAGACGTAGGTCGGGTTCTCAAGGTGGTCGCTTCTCCCCCAAAGATGGGCTCGATATGTTTCGTCTCTAAAATGCTAGCACCTGGGTCGGGATCAAATTCCGGACCGTTCATGTTTCAATGTCCATCCGGTCACCTGCCCTCTATTGGCAATACTTCGTAAGTTAAACATGTTCAACCCCCTGCATCTTACTCATGAAGCATGTGGCTCCATCAGTTTCCCTTTCAGCGATTTCAAGGACTATCATCATTCAATTGAGACCACTGTTTTTCCCGCTAACTAGTCCAATCCACCCCTTCAACCGGTCTCCCCATAATTGCACCTTGGCCCCTGGTGTGAGTGGAAGGTGTTCGATGACCTTCCGGAGCAACGAGGTGCTCTTGCCTGGCGAGAGGCTCAGCTCAAAGGTAACGAGCTCAGCTCAAGGCTGATTGGAAATGGTGTCTTGATATGTCCTGCAGTCCTGCATATCATTCAAACATATTCAAACTCTTGAACGTGTAAATGGCTTTCTGATATTCGACCCGGTGACCAAGAGCCGACCCTCAGAGCGGACATTTCGACCCTAAGGTCGCGTTGTGAACTGATGCATTGTCCTTTGATAGCCGAGACTCTTTTCGCACCTATCCAGCTAACATAGCTAAATGACCAACTAAATCCAACTAACATAGCTAAGGTGATGTCCCCGCTGCGAACTGATCCATGCTTCGTGGCAGAAGGCCTTTCAGCATCGCCAGCTTCTCTTCGGGCGCACCTGGAGAAATCTGTGGATCATCACTTGCTACAATTGAAATGTAAGATCCGGTCACTGCAAATGAAAGGTAAGTTTAGGTAGGGATGGTTTCTGAAGTGATTTGATCTAGGGGTATCATAAAATCATCTCTGGATTTTCTTGAACTCCAGTAAATGGTGCTTTAACTTCCAATGGCGATCTGCCATGACACGTCAGGGACTTTTTTCCAAGCGAGCTAAACACATCGATCAGAATCAGTGGGAAGAAACGACCATTGGTAGGAAGTAGCTTCTGCCGTCAGTACTGCCGTCAGGATTGTGCTCTTTCAGAAGGAAACGGGCCGTCTCACTTCAACAAACAGCCAAGAATTTCCAAAGTTTAGAAGGGCGTATGCTCTATCTCATGGTGCAAGTAAATGTCTATGTTTTTTTAGTGGTTCCTGCTTTCAAACACTGCATGAAGGCTGATTTTACATCAGCACACCAAAGCTTCCACCTCCTGTGTGTTCTCTCTTACACTGTGAACAAAACTAAGTTGAAAGAACATCTCTTAGGCAACATTGACCCGTCCTGTTCAATTGCTTTCAATTATATTTACTTGGACAACACTATTTTCTGCATAATGACCTCAGAATTCCTTGTTGCGTCTGTTTTTGCATCAGGTCGTATTTCCCCTTCTCGTGCCTGCGTCTGTGGGGAGGCCAGCCTCTCGAAGCACCAAATCCATGACATCTTCTTTGCCTCAGACTCACCGGTCTCAGGCATTGAAACATGTCGGGTCACAAGCTCGTATCTCTCGCTTACAATCCTGCAAAAAAGCATCCATAATGTAAAATCAATACATAAGTTGTAAAGAAATCCCTGGTCACCCCGCAAACCCCAAACATGGTTGAATGCCACGCTTAGACAAGGCAGAATCGATTCGATGCCCTTGGAAGTCACAAATGATGATCTGTACTTTCAGTTCTTGTTGGTATAGCTTGGTCCCCTATTTTTCTTTCCTCAATCGGACCGGTATGTGGTTGTCCTTCATCTCCAAGAGCCACGCCACGCTCCGTCGACGTGGACGCGTCCGGGCCGGTCGGTGACCGAGCTGCACAGCACGTGGCTGAGACCGAAGACCACCAGTGACTTGCCGTTGGGCCTGCGTGCCATCCCGATCGAGAAGGTGCCCAATTGGAGAGGAGAGCGAGGAGACTATCACTAGTTCCCTTCATACATGTAGTGGAAAGTACTCTCCAATTCGAGGTTTGACCATCTTTGAAGTATATCCAGTCTCCGGAGCGATTAGAACGTCCCATGGACGCCGGTCGGTTTGATGATCGCCGTTGGACTTGGGGGAAGAGAAGTTTGAAGCTTGAAGCTTGTCTATCATCCAGCTAAAAGCAACATCGTTCTACGTGTTTCATATGTGGAAAAAAGCACACTACAGGAACAGGAAATCCTATTCTTAGTCACTTCAAAACCACAATTCACCTGCCCATGTGTTTTCTCTGGGTGAAACATGCTGCCTATACCCAGCTATGTACCCATCCACCACTTCGCTTGCATTCGCGCGCGTTCGCGCCTATTCATGGCGTCCCACCATCGACTGGTCACCTCTGCACCATGTTTCCAGCACACCTGGACCGGGTGTTTGATCCGAGCCGCCTACGGCGGACGTGGACGCAGGGGTCAAACTGCCAGCAAACTGCTGGACGTTCCAATCAGCTGGGAAAACGTCCGTCTTAAACCAATGCATTGGGAATGGTCTGAAACCTTTTCTTCACCCCCACGAGTCCAATCCAGGCAACCACTCCCTCCATCATCCTATAGGATTCACGTGGAGTCACAACTATCCCACCAATTAGATCATGGTCCGCCTCTTCTGGGCCTTTCCAAAATCCACGCCTTTCCAAAAAGAACAGCCGGGCCTTCTGTAAGCCCTCAATGTTGGCCGCAGGAGGACCCATCATCAGCGTCGCCAGCCTGGAGGTCCGGCGAACTTCTCGGGTGTTTCTGGGCGTTGCACGAGGACCTGGTCATCTTCGGGAACCAAACACGAGTTTGGCCGGATGTTTTCCCTCAGGTTTTTGCAGGTCCGTCCAAGACATAATGTTGACACCGGATCAAGTAACCTCCCCTTATTCATCAAGCCCAGCTCGAGCCCCCAATACTAAACTAATTTGAAACCTGAATTCCACATGTATATTTGCAGAAACCTCCCCTATTTATCAAGCTCAGCTCCCCCAGAAAAATGTAATTAGAGTTTACTTTAGTTTACTATTGTAAATTGTAACTATACAGTATTTCGTTATTCATTAAATTCTTTTTGGGCAGTATCCAATATCTTCTGGTCCATGGTGAAACTGATCTTCTGATCCACTCTTTTCTCATGCAATCTCTTTGAGACATAGCATTCTCTCATGGTTCTCATGGTTCAATCTCTCATGATTCACACAGAATTCCATCAACCATCATCCATCAGCAGGTCCAGGTCATCATCTCATCATCCATCATCAGGTCATCACCTTTATTAAGGGGATGTGGTCTCCAATACCTCCAATCTCAAACCTTGTTGACCTTGTTGACCTTGAAGGGGGGGTTGATTAATCCAGTCTTCACATTACGAACACCATGACCTAAGCATGTCAAGCTTTTGGAGGGAGAGTTGGAATAGGTACAGTCATTCTGGTAGCGCTTTTTGAACCATCATAATAAAAATAAACCAGGCATAACCAAACAAGCACGAGCTGTGGAGAACCCGAGGGCGGGCATCGCCACCCTTTATATATGGTGAATGACACATCGGCCCAACCAACAAAAACACCATGGATTCTACGGTCGAAATCGGTTCTAGTCCGTGGGTCAAACCCAACCCGAGTCCCGCATGACCGAACGGTCCTTTGGTCCTTGTCCCAGCCAGATCCAAGTCCCAAGTCCAGCATCAACCTCCGGCGCCTCAATCCAATTGGGCATCTGATCCGGATCTGGACTTTGTTGTAGTCTCCATTGTGCTCCTGATTTGTCGACTTGACTGTGGAAGAATCGACCCGTGTCATCAAAAATGGTTCCGACCGTATGCCGCCAGTCATACCAGAAAGCCTTCTTAAGTGGCTCGCGAATTCCTGGTAAGTCTGGTCTACGTCATGCAGCCAAACTACATAAGAGCTTGGAGCTTCACCTCGCACACTCGCTGGTCAAACGCCGAACGGCCCCGCCCCCCCCGCGCATATGGCGCATCCTCACGACCCGAGGAAGCGAGTGCCCGCCTTCATGTTATCACTTCGGTGTTCAATCTCCAGCACCACACAGCCATGGCCCCATAACACCTGCGGATCGGCAGGAAGATGCATCAATGTGTCGGCAGCCTTTTCTCAGCATGGAGATGTCGCAAACTGGCCAACATCCATCAAGGGTCTTACCCTCCCTGCAACAAACATGGAAGTGGAGAACTCCTGGTTTGTAGAGCAGAATGGTCTTTCCAAAGGCCACTTCCATGATTTGTATACATAGAGAGGGTGCACAATCTCTGAGTGACTGGTTCACAATTGTGCAAACAGTATATGAATGATTGATCAAACCACGATAAAGAATTTGCATCTTTTGGGCAAATGATTCTTCCATGAGCTCCCAATTCCCACACTCCAGTGCTCGCAAACACTTTTTTTGAGCACTGTCATCCAACAAATGGTGACCTCTCCAGGACTTTTGGAACCAAATGGGTCAAATCAAATCGCTTCTTTTTGCTCTTGGATGCCAATCCAAGCACCCGTGGATTGGTCAGATTCAGCCTTTTCCGTCACCCAGCAGCTGTGGCCACGCGAGGTCAACCGACCTTATCGACATCCATGATGAGCGCCGGAGTGATCGCCTGAGCTGAGAGCCCCCAAAAAGGTTAAAGGACATCTACTGACTGGGTAGGGCTTTGTACCAATAAACCATTGTCGGGGAGCCATTGTGGTTGGTCTCAGGCCACTTGCAGCGTTTGTCTCAGGCTGTTTTCGGGGTGCTACACTCCCGAAGAGTCACGTGGACCCTGACAGTCTGGCGTCTGGCCCATGTAGAAAGAGAGGTGTTTCCTCCTAGTGAACCCTGTGGTTTTTCAGAGTCCATGTTAGTCTTGACGGGGTTTTTTAACCTACCTAGAAAGCCTGAGAGACCCCATCTGTGCGATGGAGTACCAGCTGTTCGATCAAGTCGCATCAGTCTCTTCTGGCTTTTTCAGAGGCCAGATATATATAGTTCTAGTCTAAGCTAGTAACTAGTACTAGAAGGAAACACCGTGGGTCAGAAGTCTATGCAAGCACATTGCTTTCTCACCGATGTACACGATGGGACTTGTTTGCCAAGTCCCATCCACTCAACACCCTTTGTTTAAAGGTGAGACAAACACCCGTTTTGACTGGAAAAGAGCCAATACTTCGTCTGGTTTTCACCGGTCCACCGGGGCGGTCTTTCACCGGTCCACCGGGGCACTCACCCGGGCGGTCTGAGCTCAGGTCTCGGTCCGCAAGGGAGGTGTCAGAATGGACTGGTATAGGTCTGTGATGATACTTGGATCTGCATTCTAGTAGATCCCCTAAAATAGATAGAAACGGTTTCCAATATGTTTAGTAGGGATCTACTTCTACAATCTATTTGGAGCTCTCTACAAACAAATATGCCCTGAGAACCATCAAGGGTGTGTGAACTGTTGAGGGGCATTTGGGCGCTCTGAAAACGCTCTGATCCTGTTGATGAAGAGCAGCTATGAGCAGCTCTAATACCACCTAGAACCTAACAATGAAGGAGTGGGCAGCACAAGTCATCTTCCCAAATCACCCAGTCTGCAGGCAGCTTGCCGAGAATCCAATCGATCAATCGTTTCCAAGAGAATGCCACATGTTTTTGACACATCAACCCTGACACACCCGCACCCCACGCCCACACACACACACAGACACCTACCTACACACACCCGTCGTGAGTTCCGCCTCACTGGAGACCAGCGCCAGCACCGCCTCGTTTCCGCCCTCTGCTTCCGGCACCTGGATTCCGCCCTCTGCTTCGACGCTTCCTCCCGGGCCCCCCCGAGTGGCCGGAGTGGAGGTCCTCGAGATGGGTGATGTCTTTCAACACAAACATATATATCCAATTTAGGCACCCTTCGCAAAGTACCATCCACTTCTTGCGGAAATAAAATCATAGACAGAGGCCCCATATGTGGGCTCACCCTTGGGAACACACCAGAACACACCGGTGGATCGCTGAAATCAGCGATCCATTCCGCTGGTGGCTTCCGGTGATCCGGTGCGGCAAACGGTGCAGTTTGCTCTGGCGGCCGACCCTGGAAGCTCAGAGCAAACGGCACCGGATTCGCATGGCACAGGATGTGAATCGGGATGTTATGTGTCTAAGATAGACATATAGGTAGAACTATACGGTAGACTGGACGTATGAATCAAACCCCTCATTTGGATCGCAACGAAAACTGCATATATAATTATGGTGGTTGTTTCAATCAACAGTCCGAAGATTATGTTTAGTCTGAAACAGTGCTTAGTTCATCTTAATTCACACATGTTGCTCATCTACAAACAGGAGATGTGCTTTCGATTTACCAAAGGAGAACTCTAAGGGACCGACAACTAATCACTTCAGGGCGGCAACAACCTTCACAAAAAGGATGTTGAACATCGTGGATACTCATGGATCAATTGTGAGTCATTCGGCAATCTTCTATCCTTCAAGTCGTCTGCCCAACGACTGCTGGATTCGTCTGGACCCAACGGATTACCCCGATTCGTCCCGCAAAGTCCCCGCTGTTATAGTGTGGATGGCATACTATGTCTTTTAGTCTCAGGAACGATACTACCGGCCTGGTGAGGGGGTCAATATCACTGCATCGCTTCATCTTGGCCCCTTGGTCCCTTGGTGGCTCTTTCTAAAGCCTTGGCCGAAACGGAATCAGGTTGACCGCTCGGTTGAGTGAACTTGTTCAACCCCCCATGGCGTGGCCAAGCCGACCTCCGCCACGCCTGCCCCGCGTCGGGAAAATGGAAGTTCAGCTGCAGGCCTTGCTCCTGCGACTTGTCAGCAGGAGGGATAGGGGTGTGCCATGTGTGCCTTCTCATGACTGAAGATCGACAACATTATGTAAGTCTTGCTCTCTGGTGCAAACTCACCAGCTCGTTCAAGGAGTGTTGGACATGATCCCAAATGTTTGGGTCTGCGATGGTCTGGGCTTCTGCAAAATGCCATGGCTGGACGGGATCAATGACTAACCAAACTACACCCACCCTACAATGATGATGGTTGGCTAGCCTGCTCGTCCAACACTCTGATCACATCACAAGGCCCCTTTTGGGCATCTTCACCCAACCTTCTTTGCTACTTTTTGGCAATGTGGCATTTGTTTTTTGCCATGGTGTCTCATGGTTGCCTGCTTGTGCTTCACACCATTTTACATCCTTTTACCATGGACAAACTCTCCTGCAGCACTGGATCTCCAAAGATTGTCTACCACACATGTGTCGCTTTGGCACCTCCGAGCGAATCCACCCACCACGGCGCCGTAGGGCGGAATTCCGCTGTCTCGCTTCATCCGAGGGGCTCGAGCACAGGAGCTCAAAGACTTCATCAGGCCGATGGAGCTCTGTTCCGCCACCTAGACAGGGCCGAGTCAGAACCGCGTGGACGACTCCGACGTCGGTGGCGAGTCGCGCTCCGGGGCGCGGGGGCCATGGGTGACTGAGTAAGCCTCTCGGAGTTGAAGACCTGCGTGGGAGACAGTGGGTCCCTGATTGTATATGGCAACTCTTGCATAATTAACTCATCAGATATATTATACTTTATAATACAGGTCTGCTGGGTTGAGCACTTGGTATCTTCACATTGTCCAGTACGTAGTAGCAAATTCCAAGAAAACTAAAGGATAAACAGTTGTAAATTTAAAACATTTGTTCAGTACAGCGACTTGGTGATAACAAAAATCCCAGCTGATTCAATATATAGAACTCTATATACAGTTCCACTGAAGATCCTGGCAGCTCTCATAATCAGTCATGTCGTCTTCTGACGCCGCAAAGTCATTTGTCAAGCGCCTTGAGTACGAAGGTGAACATCAAACCACCACCAAGAAGGAACTGGGCCATGTCCAACACCTGGCAATTCTGGATGGCAGGGCCAACAAACCTGCGACGTTGGAAGAAGTGGCTGAACTGGGGCCCCGGAGTGCGGCCTATTCGATGCGGTCCTAGATCTCCAAGCCAAACCTGGAGCCCCCGCATCACCATGTAGTTTGAACTTCCAGGTAAAGTTCAACCGGTCGATATCCTGGTGCCATGACCCGCAGCCACCAAGGTATCCAGCAAATGTGGTCTGCTCCCTTTCTGCTCCGTGAGGGTGTGCCAGTGTACCTCTGTCCCCCATGTCTATTGTTGGGCGTTTGGTCTCGTAGGGGTGAAGCGACACTCAGGTCTCAAGGAGGTGTTTTGTTTTGAGCGGTGTGGCGGGTGTCAGTGGGAGGATTCGCCACGCGAAAAGAAATTACTCTCTATTTCGAGTGATCCCCACCATGACATGTCAATCATTTGTCTTCATGGCATGGTGAGGAACATGTTGCCATGGTCGTGAGCCTTGTGGTTTTTGACTTGTTTGTGGGTCATGGGGTTGTGTGCTGTGATTGTGGTTGTGTGTTATCGTTGTGTGTTGTGGTTGTGGGCTGTGGTTGTGTGCTGTAAATGTGTCTTTGTAAAACATATTAATATGGATGGTCGATGTCAATATCGGGGTGGTTGTCATGAAGTTTTGTTTGGATACGGCTATGACAATGAAGTGCGAAAAGTGTCTCTCACAGTTCAAAGCCTTGTCTACATATTGTAGACGTTGACCGTGGCAATCTGAGGCTCCTAAGGTCCGAGCTGTGTTTGTGTTTGAGTGTTTGTGTTTGAGTGTTTGTCATTGCGTGTTTGTGTTTGTGTGTTGGTTGAGGTCCGGCAGAGCTCAGTGCGCTCGGGAGCTGGCGGTCGAGGTCCGGCCGGGCACACTGCCATCCGGAGCTGGCGGTTCACATGACCCTCGCAGTTGAGGGAACACTACCAGACGAGGAGGAGGAGGAGGGGGAGGAGGAGAGCGGCGACAGCTGAGATAAAATCTAACAACCCTCACCTTATACAGGTGGGGAAAAGGACATCACGTCATATTCCGGGGCCCTCCATGATCGACTCCGCTCAGTCGACTCCAGTGCCTCGCTCTGGTGCTCCACAACCAGCTTCAAGAAGGCCTCCCCGGATGGCGCTCCATTGGCCAAGCTCCGTGTTTTCACGGGGCTTGACGGATGAGCGTCCATGCTGAACCGGGCACGAACCGACCGGCCACGACCTATACCCTTCCGGAGAACGCGAACAAGGCGAACAGGTGGGTCACGACCCATGCCCTCATCTCACTTCGTCATCCCTTCTCTGGTCGACAGCGCCCCATCGATGCTTCACCTGGCAAATGCCCGGCTTGTCGGCGCCCCATCCACGGAAGACCAAGATGTTTCCACCTGCGAAGATGCGCAGGCGGACTCCACCTGGAGACTCCACCTGGGAGACTCCATATGCATGAAAGGTGTTTATGTTTTTTATGACGTTAAAAACACATATAATCTACAATTATCCACAAGATTCCACAAGTGTTTGTTCATGACAAAACATGTTTGTACACTAAGACCATCACCACCCACATCGTTTCTTCGTCACAAAACACACACACACACGAAGTAAGCTGCAAAGAAACAACTATGAAAAACTAATCAGGCATCTGTGCACCACAGGTGGTTGGATAGACTTGCAAAAAGGGCCACATTACATTACCTGACATGAAGGATTGTAAGGTGCTCTTTAGATCAAAATAAGAACAAACACATGTAATGCACAACATCAAATATCCACGCAGCTGCACCGGCACCTCATTGCCGGATATGTTGTTTGAGATCAAACAGTTAAACACCTGGAATCCGCAAGAGTTAGGCGACTCCCCCTCAAAGAAACAGTCACAACGGAGCTCCTTTGAGCGATTTGCACGCTCGCTCGCGGCCCGGACCTCCAGTGGAAGTCATCGCGTCTTCCCCCATGGCGACCGAACAGTAAAAGGCTCAGCTGAGAGTCGTGCCGCGGTCGTTCAAAGGGCGAAGATGCACGAAACGACGGGAGAAATGACACAAAACTATGCTGTAGGGGACACAATTTCCTGCGGGAAACTATTGGTTTTTGCCAACTTATGTTTATCAGGATACGATGTCACAGTGTTAAATGGACGTCAAGGCAGTAAGGGTAGTGGATAGTGATACATGTATATATAATATATATATATATAGTTTATATTCATATATATATATATAGAGAGTCTTATATAGTTATATATACAAAATGATAGTATATAGCAACCTGGAAAAGGAATCACTAAAAGCACAACCAGAAGGTCGGCGATCGCACAGCTTCTCATGCTGAACTTGGTGAGAGATGACGATCAGCACAGCGAGCTCTCCAGAGCCTTCACCACGTGGTTGCCATAGACGAAGTGTTGCTCTCCAGATGGCTTCAGCCACACCCGGTACTGGGCCAAGCGCGCCTCAGACCATCAGGTTGCATCCAAAAAATCCATCGCCAAGCGATGCAATGCAATGCACAAGTGGCACTCTCTTCCCGGTATGTGTGTATTTCCATGTATTTGTTCCCTCTGTATCTCTGGTGCACAACACAGCATCAAAAACACAAAAATCAATACGATAATGTGATCTAATGTGTGCGTGTGTGTGTGTGTCTGTGGATGGGATACTCCTCTCGTCTCAATGAGCATCTGACCTATGCTTTCTGAGGTTTCTTGGGCTCCCCAGCCAAATAGTCCAGGGCGGTAATCTGCAGCCGAAACTTCCGGCTGTGAGTGAACTGCGCGACGCAGTTCGCCGCCAGCGCGCTTCGAACACCCGATCCCAGGGAAGATCAGGGAAGCCCTCGAAAGCCGAGAGCTTAGGGTACGCGCCCGACACGGCAGCCAAATTGGAGGTGGTTGGAAGTTTCTGGCATGAAGCTGGGAAGGCTAGCTAGGGTATGGTGGCTTCATGAGGGGTAGCCTTTCCAGGGTAGTTTTAATCAAATGTATTGCAAACATTCCTGGACATAACCCAAAGTGAACAGTCTAGCATAGTCTAGCCTATAGGCCTATAGTCAGAATAGTTGACACTTGGTGTAAACAATAGCTGACCCCTATTCTTTTCAGTGATTCTGCATCTCTGTCCAAGTATGCCAAATTTTTTGCCCAGTGATGCCCAGTTCTGATCCTTGGTGACTGATGCCCAGCGCAGGAAGAAGGCGCGCCCTGATTCGAGCTGAACTCACCGGTCGAAGAAAACAAACGGGAAAACCCACTCCTTGCCAATGCAAACGCCAGCACTGAGCAGTTCCTGGCGGCGAATGGAGGCGAGAAAAGCAGGTCAGCCCTCAGAGGACATGTCCATCTGCTTCGAGCGAAGCTATGGCAGTAGCTGCCGGGTGCGCATTTGCTGTCTCCAAGAAAAAGTATCACAACATATCGTGACGCTTTGTTTGAAACGCAATTCCTCACCGCAAATTGTCTCCATTTCTACAGTATCTGGATGGGAACCTTTTCTTCACCCTGTGTTTTTCACCCTTCCCCAGAGACCGAGACTTGTGCTCAGCCGGGCCCGGCCTTCTTCGGGATGTGACCGGCATGTTTCAGTAGCCGCTCGCTCATGTAGAAGACACGCTCCTCATGAGGCTTCTGGCAAACGACAGAGGACCATGAAGTGGACGAGGATATGGGGTGTTTTGCAATCTATGAAACACATGTCGCCCTCACTGCTCATGGGTATATATACGGTATACCATGGTATTCCCTACCCACGACTGCTGGATACTTACTCCGGGTCTCAGACAAGAGCCACGTCGGCACTTCGTCGGTGCCTTATGTAGTCTGAAGAGAAAAATGCCATCGGCTCTGTCGACCATCTGTCGCAGGTTCTGTCCAATGTACCTAGCCGAAGTCATGCATCACAGCTGCGGGCCACACGTGTCACATGTAGACCGTATATATTTATATACTATATATATAAATATATATATATATTTATTTATTATATATATACCCAGACACTCCCGTGAACAGTATGGCATATTTACCTACCTTGGTAGGAAAATCAGCGGTGGTGAAAAATAGTAAGGGATCTATGCGGATTCATCTGCAGCGGTCTTTTTTTTGTGTGCTGCGGGAGGTCGCAACTCGCATATCGGGCCTCAGCGGGCGGTGGGCCAAGTGATTATGTCTTTTACCATGTCTCACAACTTATTGCAGCCTGTGTTGTCTGTTCAAGCTACACGCATCTGTGTCTCTCACCCACGACCTGGGTTCATAGCGTTGAAGACGCTATCTTTCTCAAGAAATAGAACTATATCTCTCTCAAAAAGCTTGCGCGGCAGAATGGTGTTTTATTGCTCGAATCGCGGAGGCTTCTGATTGCAAGGCAATGGTAACGGTCATCGTTTGGGGCTGCTTGGGACAGAAGCAAGGTAACAGTTGGGTAGGCGCATTGAACAATGATAACCAGAGAGCTGCCAAGCAAAGTGAACCCAGATGCAGGAAGATACGCTAAATAGGTGTCACTCCCATGCGATGACACATTCATGGACGTTCGTTAAGGCCACGTTTCTCTGGATTCGGCTTCAACTTGACAGATGATTGTGCATACAACCAAGTCGCCACGACAAAACTATGCTGTCCTTGAAAATCCTCGCTCAAAAGCTCCTGGCAGAGAAAACCTGCTAAGTTTGCAACCCAACTCTGGTCCCTATTCATTCCTAGGGCTTTGACCAGAATGATGACTCTGAGGCAGTACGACTTTGCTAGTCGGACGGCTGGCGCAAATTACACGCAATGGGTCAGCTGGGACGTCTGGGACAGCTGTCTGGTCAAAACCTGCCAGGACACAAGATTTATCACTTGTCACTTGTCACTGCTGCATTCAACTTGGAAAGTGGTCAAGCCCAAGCCCTTTGATGTCATGCAGTGCTCAAGATGGAGCACACCTTGACATGAGGTGTATGACTCTGCAGGCACCCCACATGTGAAACTTGCCTCCTGGTGGATGTCAAATGTCAACCACTGCCCACACCAAGGGTCACAAATAGAATTGAACATGATTCTAGAATCGTTGAAAACCTGTCAAAGGTCACCATCTCATCGCGCACGTTCACCCATATGACGCCGCACCACTGCTATTAAAAATTAAACTGTCGATGGTGGACTTAGGACCCAAGCCCCTTGCTGCCAGCTAGCCGCTTCCAGGCCTGCAAACATAGGCAAAAGAGCGCTAACCGTCAAACTTTGCCTCCCAATGCCCTCACAGCTTACAATGCTTCTCACATTCAGAGAGCTGACTGGAAACCGTCTGCCGCCCCTGCGCAAACAATGCCGCCAGCCTCCACGTGGCTGGTCACCTGCCAAAATGTTTAAAGGCTTGTCATAAGTTGAGCTGTAACTTGATAGAATCAAACTGTGATTCTGGTCGCTCGCATCAGCAGACCCTGGCGATTGAAAAAGCTGTCTCAACCAGGTCAATATTGATCCGAATCACTTTTTCAAATTTCACATCGGTGATTGAGGTCCTGCAATGCGTGGACAGCAAAGACAATTGCAAAAGCCACGCGAAGGTTGCATGGTCGGCGCCGCTCTTGCTTGTCGAGCATTGTTCAAAAAGGTAGTGGCTCATATGGCTCTATGGGCTCTCACTGGGTATTGTTTCCCCCGGGTTGCCAAGCCTGCCATGGATCATACTGCCACTGGTTGTCCTAACGTTAGGCTTCGCAAAGTGGCATTGGCGGATCTGCTGCCTTCGCAGCGGGGGCAGCCTGCGCAGGGGCAGCCTGGGCCTGGGGCACAGCAGCCTGACCACCACCCTGGAAAGCTTGGCCAGCTGGGGCCGTTCAATAATGGAACTAGCAATGCTGCCTGGGAGCCTGCGCAAATCTCATTGACGCTGTCGCGGGTCTTCACACCCCCAGCGAAGAAACTGGACGTGACAGTGTTGAAGGAAGCAGATGCCAACTCCTTGCTGGGATCATACCTCTTCCGAAAGATTGCCGGGGCACTGTCCAAGCTCAGCGCATACATGTGAATCTCGTCCTTGGCCAGTGACAGCATTGCCATGTCAAATTTGCACTGTGGCCCGGGACTGTGGACAAATGCTCAGCCAGCTCTAGCCGCACTTGTCGTTGGGCTGCATGGGCGGCTGCTGACGCTGAAGACAACACCACAGCTCTGCCATCGCCAGTGCCCTGGGCAGCTGGGTCGGCTGGATCTTGAAGATGTTACGCGCCAGGAAGAACGGTCTCCTCGATCACATCCTCAGCCACAGCCCGCCCGGCCGCCAGCATTGCGGCTTCAGCAGCATCGCGGGCCTCCAGTGCCTCCACCGCCCCATTGATTTGCTCAGCCATCAACCACACACGCCAGGGGCCAGTGAACGCGACACGAAGCAAAGGCAGCGTTTGAGCCACTACTACGGGCTCAATTCAAACGCAGATTGACCCTGGGCCGCTCCCTAGCAACCCTTAAAATAAAAAACAGTTGCTTTAAGGGAGATCTTAGTCCAGCCAAGGGTCCCAAGTCAACACCTGATCCCCCACACCGCCCCCACGGCGCCCTTGCCTGATTCTGCGAGTCAGGATGCAGGGGTAAGTGAAATCAAACAAAATGGCTGCGGGAACGGCGAATTCAAAGTAATAACAACAAATAAACAATACTCGAATTGCCAAGCTAGCTACATTGGGGTGGTTTCAGGGGTCAATGTAGGTAAATATGCCACACATGGAGTGTCTGGGGTACATATATATATATATATAGAGTTAACATATATCACATACAAACATATATAACTATATGACTATATATACACATGAGTGATGGTCTGAGGATTTGTTGCAGTCCATGCCTCTATGATTGATTATGGGACATGAGGTTTCAGCTTCTTGACTCGACATAGGGCCATTTCCTACGAGAATTCGACAGCTGTAGCGCACTTCTTCAGCTTTTCAAAGACCAGCCTAGCTTTGGCGGTTG